GTCGCTGATTACGAATCTGATGACACATTTTTGAAATTCAAAATGGCGGATCCAATATGGCATTGAGAAAGGCCGATTAATGTAATGTAGCAATGTGCAACGATTGGGTGGCCTTGAAAAAGGCCGATTGATGTAATGTAGCAATGTGCAACGATTGAGTGGCATTGAAAAAGGCCGATTGATATGCTGTTGCAATGTGCACCTATTGGGTGGCCTTGAAAAAGGCCGATTGATGTAATGTAGCAATGTGCAACGATTGGGTGGCCTTGAAAATAAAAAAAATTAAAAATTGATTTTCCCACTCCTTCCCTTCTTGGAAACCATAAGAAAATCAATTTTTAAGTTTACTGATTTTAAACCATTGCTAAAAACTTAGAAACTATGGAAAAATTAATTTTTAATTTTACTGATTTTGGATTTTGTACATAAAAAACAAAACGTGGTTCACTGTTGACTACATTTTCCTATATTTAGATGATCATCAGTCCCATGCTGCCTCATTTTAGCAATGATCCTAAATCCGTTATATTAAAAGAAAAAATTTCCATGCGGTTTCTAAGATTTTAGCAATGTTCAAAAATTAGTAAAATTAAAAAATTGATATTCCCCATCGTTTCTAAGTTTTTAGCAATTGACCAAAATTAGTAAAATTAAGAAGGTAAAATTCAGTATTCTTAAGTATATTAAGTATATCTGTCATCAGATTCGTAATCAGCGACCCCGAAAACCCATGAGTAACGAATTTCAAGTGAATTGGATGAATTTTTAAAACAGTTGTCCGCCATATTGGATCCGCCATTTTGAATTTCAAAAATCTGTCATCAGATTTGTAATCAGCGACCCCGAAAACCCATGAGTAACGAATTTCAAGTGAATTGGATGAATTTTTAAAACAGTTGTCCGCCATATTGGATCCGCCATTTTGAATTTTGAAAATCGGACTTCAGATTCGTAATCAGCGACCCCGAAAACCCGCGAGTAACAAATTTCAAGAAAATTCAATGAATTTTCAAAAAAACATCCGCCATATTGGATCCGCCATTTTGAATTTTGAAAATTGGACTCCAGAATCGATATCAGCAACCAAATTAACAGTAGAATATGTCCTTGCCCGACATTTATGCATTGTTTTTAGGGAGAAAATAATATGTTTATTCGCTTTTTCACAAATACAGCATCTTTAAATCGGTACAGCAAAGAGGCCATTTTGAATTTTCAATTCTGCCACGCTTTAATTGATAGGGTATTAGTTTACGAGTATTTTGATGTATTACATGTTTATTTTTATCAATTAGAATTTTGGGCAGAGCTCTGAGCCGGTTGACGTGAAACGTCCCATATATATTTTTTTTTTTCATTCCTCTGCTTTAGATGATTTCTTAGAAAGAAGATGTCATCATCGCTTTAGAATACTTTCAATATATTATATATAGATACCAAGAACCAGTCAATAATGAAAGTATATTGTAAGAAATTCAATTTTCGCAAATGGTTTGATTACTTTTAAAGTAAGTATAAAAGAAAAACTTCATTTTATTTGTTTCAGTTTTACGAAAATTTACAGCAAAAACGACGCTGAATATTTATTTTTTCTCCAAATTTCTTTGGCGAATTAGCTCAATCAAACTCAAGGCAAATTTGATCAGGTTTCACTTAAGTTTGATTTAAAGGAAAATATTGCAACTAATTAGTGCAATATGATAACAAAAATTATAAATACTGGCTAAATTAGTCATTATTAAGGCCAGGTCCAAGTCGAGTCAGCTGTTCCTTTGAAGTTTCAATGGAACAGCTGACACGACTTGGACCTGGCCTTAAGTTCATTTGTGTAAGAATTATGTTAAATTAAACTTTAATAAAGTAATTTAATGAGACCATTAATTCTTTCACAAATCAACTAAATATTGTTATTAGAAATAACAAAAATAATATTTTTCAAAATAAAAAAAATGGGATTTACTGTGATAAACACAAGTAAAAAAAAAAAACACTTTAATATTCCTTTAATAGTTTCAAGTGAATGCGTTAAATTTTTTTAAAAATATCCGCCATATTGAATATGTTTAAATGGACATCATATTCGTATTAAGCGACCACGAAAACCGTCGAGCAACTAATTTTGAGGGAATCTTATAAATTTTTAAAATTTTTGCCACCATATTGAATCCACCATTTTGTATTTTCAAAAACGGACATTATATTTGTAATCAGCGACCCTGTAAACCCCCAAGTAAACAATTTTAAGCAAATCTGATAAATTTTTCAATTTTCGACCGCCATATTAAATCTGCCATTTTGGATCTGATGAGGAATTATTATTTAGATAATTAATTCAAACCTTAAAGAGTTTTTTCATATTAACGTTCAATAAAATTCTAGAAAACAATATTGCGGAACAATCACAAAAGGTAAAGCTGAAGTCTCTCTCTCTTTCTTTACTCAGGTAGCGATAAATAGAATTGCCTGCCTCACTCTATTTAAAAAAAAACAACATAAGATTCTCTTTGTCATCTAACGCGAAAATTTAACGCTTTTCTTTCTTCATCTATCACAAAGAAATAGTATACGAATATCTTCGTTTAACAACTTTTGTCTCTGAAACCAAAGGTATGTTTATCTGACAGTTTGCGTGGTGTTGGTGGAAATCTGGAAGGATACAAAATAGAAAAGAAATTGTTTGAGCGCGTCAGGTATTTAGGGAGAATGTTAAATGAACCCTAAAATGCTCCAATTTAAAAGACTGACGTTTCGGAAGTGACGCAAGCTTGTAGCGAATTTTTGAAAATGTAAAAAAAATCACCAACTTAAAATACTCGAGCGTGTCAGATTTTTATACAGATGGTTCAGCTCGATGCTGTAGTCATATATGATAGTTCAAAATCTGACGATTATTTTGAGGAGTATTGTTAATCTGACAGCTGTTTTGTGATCAGCTGTAATGGTGTCATGGCGACGGAGAGAAGTGTCAGGAATCGGGATTGTGCGACAGAGTCGGAAATAGGAATAAAGTGCTGTACTCCAGTAGCGCGCACTACTCTCCATAGACAATTTTCATTACTTTGCCTTTTGGAAATCGTCAGATTATATTTTATTCGTGATTCTTGTGTTATTTCCTTCAAATAAAAAAAAAATTTAACCGCGCTCGAGAATGTCAATACAACATTTTTTTTTGCAAATTTGTAACCATCCCGCTCCCTTGCGTTACGCTCAAATCGACAGATTTTTTAAATGTACATTTTTTAGCTAGTAATTAATCCACCTTATCTTAATCTGACGCGCTTCAATATCTCTAACCATTGATTTTTTTTACTAATCTGATGGAATACCCTAGACGCACGTCTTGATAAAAAGAGTTCATACTTGGAATAGGTACTCAACAATATGCAAGGTATCCCCCCTGTGTTCATCTACCGTGCTCGAGTTAATCCGAAAAAACACATTGGGCTCCCTTACGTCGAGAGGATTTGGGAGATATAGAGGTGAGTGAACAACAATTGTAATGGCTAATTGTAAGCTCACTACTATACAAACGAAATTCTACAAGACAAAGTTTCGATCAAATTAAATTTTTCGTCTTTCACGGCGCTCTTTGGCATATGACTCATTCCTCACTCCCTAAATATAAGAATGCTCCCTGCCGATAATTGTCTGGTAACAAGACTCTTGTAAATTTTTGATAGACCTTGTCGTGGTGGTGGGGCTTTTCGCTAAAGGACTTTTAAAAACCAAGATGTAAAGTAATGAGAAAATATATATGGAAAGCAAAGGATTGAATAAGGACGTTTACGGTGCAGGAGAGGGATACCCTAGTGCCGGCGCTGCTGATCGTAAGCAAGTTGACTTCCCAGCATCGAAATCTAGTGATAACAGTGCTGCAATATTGGACACCTTGGGTGCTGCAGCATTAAATGCAACAAGGAGGATGGACCATTGAGGCACCCAGTTTCTTAAGGTGTGCTTCATGCGTTTCGAGTGTCAGCAGCGGATGAAGTTTGATTCCATCAGACCTAGACAACGAGACAATTGAAGAAGATCGAGAAAAGTGTTTACAGTTTAGACAGGAGGAAGCTGAGTGTCTTCAGATGATCGAAGAGGGGATCTTCAAGATGGTAAAGTCTTGCGAAGTCCAGAAGAATGTCAACATGACTATTAAAGACGGTCTTAAGACTCTTCAGGATCTTGTCAGTGAGACGAAGACAAAGCACGCCCCAGCAGATAATGAAGATGGCAACCTTGGTGTAGGCATGCTGAGATGAATCGTGAAGAGCGAAACAGAAAAAAACTTATCCATGAGAAGCGGCTTCGGCACGGAGTCATAGAGACACAGAAACGAAGACAAAGCTGTGGCAGTCCGGAGAGGGCTAACGCCGCGGCAAAGAAGAGAAAGCAAGAGGAGGCGCCTCTTGTCAAAAAGATTGCGTAGGTGACGATAACATCGAATCCTAAGCAAACCAGTAAGAGAAAGCGACGAATGCATCTACAATAGTAATCCGAGTCGCAACTGGAACTACGTATACCGACGTACTGAGCAAACTTCGGAAGGAAGTGAATCCGGACGTCACCCACACGCAGGTTGTAGGCTCTAGGCCTACTAGAAAGAGAAATCTCCTGATTGAAATTAAAGAAGACTCCAACAATACTATTATTAAATTTAAATGTCCATCAAAATATTTTATGAGATAAGCTGTTAACCGACAAACGTTTGTTGGCTGAACGAAAAGTATTGCCCTGCTCAAAATCCCTGTACAAGAAAATTTACAGGTTCAGCAGCTGGAACAAGTTCCTGTACATACATATTCTTGTACAAGCTCTGCTACAAGAACTTCTAAATTCTTTTAGCAGAACTTGTACATTTTCTTCAGCATAATTGGTACAAGTTTAGTTGCTGAATTTGTATATTTTCTTTTTCAACATCTTGTACAGAAATTTCCAGTAGTGTATTCTGTTTCCCCAAGAGAGTTCTCTACAATATTGCAAATAATTATAATAGAATTACTTACGTTTCAACAGCATTTTGTAATTTTTCGATGCGTTCCTCAAGAGAACGTGCAGCATCCTCGGTAAACGCAGTTAAATACGCTAGAACAGGTTCAGCTAATGTTCTAATTTCCACCACAGAAGGTTTTAAACTTTCCACATCCGACAACATTTCCTTTAAGAAATAAATTTTTTTCCATTATTACTTTCATTAAAGTTCTTTAACAAAAATATTGTTGTACAGTAAAAAAAAATATTTACATTCAAAACACCAATGGTATCCAACAGATGTTCTCCAGATCTGACAATAGTTTGAGTAAATTTATTTCGTTCTTCAATTTCATTAAGTCGTGCTTCAACATTTGTCCATTGAGTTTCAAATTGTTCCCAATGTTCGTAAAGTGCCTCTAAAGTATTACGACGTCCTTCCAATCCAGAAACAAGATCACGCCAATCGGAGCTGATTTCCTCCATTTGATTTTCTATGGTCTTTCGATTTGTTTCATCAGCTTGTCGAAGAATTTCCTTTCCTCTCTCGTTCAAAAGGTCTAATTCAAAATGTTGATTCTAAAAATGAAGGAAAAAACACTTGTTAGCATTGTTATTATTATTGGGATTTTTTTTATATCATTTTCTTACTTTGTAAAAGTAGAATGGCAAGTTTATAAAGAAAAATACTTACTTGAATATTGTTAAGAGCGTGGACAATTTTCTGAATGTTAAACTGAAGTCCAGCAAGCGTTGTTACTGGTTCATCAGTGAATTTACTTCTTGCAATAACAGCTTTAACTCGTTCTAATGTTTGAGTGTAATCTCTCCAGGTTTCAGCTCCTTGTTCAAGTCGAGCTTTTTGGGATTTAGCAGTATTTAATGTATTCTTCAATAGTTGAGTGTGCTGTTGTTGTTCAGCACTCAATTCTTCTTGTTCTGCAGTGTTCAATGAAGGCCAAATTTTGTCAGCAGCTTGCTGAATTTGTTGAGAAACCAATTCCCTCATTGACGATTCACTGTTGAAGAAGATCTGCGGAAAGAAATCATTTGAAAATCTAATATTCTTTTTTTAAATTAAATTTAATGCAAAAATAAGAAACTAACCTTATACTCTTCTAGATCAGTCAAAATATTTTGAAAATCAAGTCCATCTTTGTCACTCTGAAGTCTGATCTCAGCTTCCTTTACCCAATTGTGTAATTTCTCGGTTAGAGCAGCATAATCAAGTCTCAGTTGTAAATTATTTTCCAAATACTTTCTTCTCTCATCCATTTCTCTGGGTAGTGAACTTAGAAGAGAAACGGCTTCACTTAGCATTTCTTTTAAAGAACCAGGCATATCGTCTTCATGTCTTACTGATTCTTTTAAATTTCTAATTCTCTCAAGGTATTCATTTACTTCATCACATAGCTCTTGGTGCTTTTTTAGTTCATCCTCTACATTTTGTGAGTCTCTTTGAAGTAAAGGACGAGTTTTTACTTCCTTTTCTCTAGATTCTAACCATTCTAATATATCAGATAATTCACTGGCAAGTCGTCTATGCTCAGCAGCAGTCAATTCATGTTGTTCTCGTTGTGACTCAACGGCACGTCTTAAGGTCTGAAGTTGTTGTTTGAGTGATTGAAGTTGTTCAGTTATATTATTTCTATCAGCAGTGGATCCTTCAGCTGCGATTTGTTGACCTTTATCGGTAGCACTAGCGAGTGTAGCTTCACATTCTTGAATTTTAGATATAACATCATCGTACTTTTTAATCTTCTCCTCAGTGGTTTGACCACCTTTTTCAATGTCTCGAACTATTTCCGTGTATTTGGCGATAAAAGTCATTATCTCGTTTATTAAAGTAATAAACTGTTGTCTAAGAAGAAGAAGTTGTCTTAATTTAGCAATTTGTGCTTCCAAAGAACTGATTAAATCATTCTGTTGAGTTATGACACCATGAAGATTGCCAAGGTTCACATTTTGAAGATCTGAGAGTTTTGCTTTGTTCTCTTTCAAATCACCTAGAATTTTTTCATATGCAGCCAGCATACTCTCAACGTCTTCGACTTTTGAACCAATTGGTTTATTAAGTTCTTGAATTTCTCGTTGAATGTCTGTCATGAATTGAACAGCTTCTACAACTCTTGCCGCCGCTTCTTCCATTTCATCGATACTCTTTTGAAGAGCTGCTGCTCGTTCATTGATGACATTAGCTACTCTTCCATGAGCCTCTTTCATATTTTTCAATTGCTCACTTAATTCCACTTTATCAAGATCACTCACAGTTGGTAGGATTGATTTTCCTTGTTGACATATTTTCTCTATATCATCGGCAAACTCTTTGGCTTCCTTTTTCAAACGATCATACTGAAAATTAAAAATTGTTAAAGATTCGTAAAAAACAAAAATAGAAAGATTTACGAAGAGAAGATTGCTTTACCTTCCCAAGTTGTTCTCGAAGAACATCAACACTGGATGTTCTGATTTCAGAAGATGTAGCGACTTCAGCTTCCTTGATCCATCGTTCGCACTTACTAATCTCATTCTCGAAAGCCTTACGTCCTTGAAGAAGATCTCTAAGCGCAGCTTGTTTCTCCTCAGCTTCTTTTTGTAGTTGTTCATATTCTTTACTCAAATCGTTTAACAAACCTTGCAGACGTGTTTTATCTTCTTCGCTACATTCCCTAAGAAGAATATCACCTTGTTTCAAAATATCCTTCAGATCCTTTTCATTAAAAGCCCTGATATCAGCTTCCAATCCATTATGTTGAGCTATATCTTGCTCAACTTTAAAAGCTTTTAGTGGCAAGTAACTGCTCAACTTTTTCAAATCGTTACTCTTCGATCTTATCCAGGCGTGAGCTTTCTCAAGATCATTTTCTAACTTTCTCCGAGCATCAGCAGCCGATGTTGCTGATGCAATTTCCTCCCTGAGAACTGAACAGAGATTCACCTGCTCACCTCGTAAAGCTCTTGTATCAGCTTCCAATTGTTTTTGCTCACTGGATTCTAATTCATTTTGAATATTACCTACCCGTTTCTCCAAAGCGTTAATTATCACCTGTTTGCCTTCCACTTCTTTGAGTGTTGCCTAAAGAAAATAAATTAATTAAAAAATAATATATTTTTTATGAAAATTAATTCCTCACCTTCAAAGCCAAAAGTTTTTCCTCTGCCACTTTACTTTCAAAACCAGCAGGTCCAGGAAAACCAGCAGCTTGAATATCGTGAATCCAATCTCGATTTTCTTGAATCTCCTTTCTGGTAGCTTCAATACCTTGAGCTGTCATATCAAGTACTTGTGATTTTCTTTGAAGTTTCTTGCCAATATCAGCATGTCTACGTTCAACAGATCTAATTTGTTCTTCAATTTGTTGAGAATCAAGATTACTAACAGAATCCATGACTTGATCGCCTAATTTTTTCACCTCATCTAATTTCTCTGGTCCTTGTTTTTCAAATTCTGATGCAATATCTTTAATATAGGAAATTTTCTGTCCAATCGTTAAACCTGATCCTTTCTCAATGTTGTCTATCTTATTTGAAAGTGTATCGAACCAAGTGTGAATATCCTGAACGTGATATCTGAATTTTTCAATTAAATCCTGAGATGCTTGCTTACCAGCAATTGCTTCAAGTAATTCAGCTTCTAATTTATTTAAACTTTCCTCAATATCATCATCTTGTTCTGGAATTAGTGACAATTCTGTTAAAGCAGCTGATCTTCGCTCACCAACATTTGAAAGTAAATCATTCATTGCTTGAAGTTCTGCTTGAGCAGCTTCACTTCTCAATTTTGCTGGTCTTGATTTCCATTCAGCACAAATTGCTCGTTGTTGATTGATCCAGGCACGTAGTGCATTCTTTTGACGATTTTGTTCTTCTAAATCATTAACTGATTTTGTCACATTCGATAAGTGTGTCTGCATCTAAGAGGAAGAATTGATCAAATTTTTTTTTATTAGTTACATTCCTTTCAAAATTCAACAAAAGTTATTGAACATAAAAGAAAAACAATGCAAACCTCACAACACAAGTGGTTAAGTTTCACTAAGAAGCCACTGCGCTCGATATTTTCTATCAATGCTTTTAGCCTGTGAGCTGAATCTCCATTATCCTTCTGCGCAAAATGTGAGCCAAATAATAATGTAAAGAAAATTAAAAAAAAGCGTGCGCTATAGGGTTACAAGACAAAGGGTGCATTCAATACAAAATCATGCTTCAAAATCATTTTTCACAATTTTTTTAGAGTATTCTTATTTTAATGAATGTTTTATTTTTTTTGTTAGAAAATCAAATATTTCTTTAGGAACATTTTGGTGGGAAGAAATAAAAATTTAGAGTTTGAATTTAAATTTTTAGACCACAATTTTGGACTTAATTTAAAAAAAAATTATTTCGATACAGAACTATAGAGATGGAATAAAAATTATAGTTTAAAAGTTAATTTAACACTGCTTTTTTATTTGAAAATGTCCCCAGAATGTTCTAAAAAATATTCTCGAAATGTCAAAAAAATTCGTAAAATGTTCTCGAAATGTTCTTAGAGTATCCTAAAAATGTTCCAACCATGTCCTGAGAATGTCCCAAATACGTACTGAGACTGTACCAAACACGTGCTGAAAATATCCAAGGAACCGCCTTTTAATACCTTCAACATATATGATCGTGGAAAGATGATGAGAGAAGAATTAGAAGAGGCAGTACATCTAGTCTCTTAAGTCTAAGCAGCATAAGTGCTGCTAACATTAGAGATAGACACGGAGGCGATTAATGAAGAGTGCCAAAGCTGTGTAAAGAATCAAAGAAGTCCTGAAGATGTTGAAGTCTTTAGATGATTAGAATAACGACAACGTGATGATAGAAGACGATTTGAAAATTCTTAAAACCATTAATACCGAGTAGGCGAATACTAAATATCTCTTAAACCTTTTGGAAAGTATCTCCAAGATCAGTGATCAGAGACGACTCCAAGAAGGTAACCTTCAGCGCGAAAGTTATCAGGATAGTCGGAGGCTTTAGTAAGATACAGTTGATGGATCAAGGTAACACTTGAGATATGCGACTTGGATTGCTTTATTTAGCTAGAAGAGGTCCAAGAAGTGCTAGAAAAATAATTCGATAAACTAAAAAGGTAAAAGTCCTAGAATCCAAACGACAAGGAATAAAACTCGCGGTTGTAGTCATCGACTCAGAGGAAACGGACAGGCTGGAGGAATTAAGACACATAAAATTTGGTTTTATTTTTTTGTCTACTTAGAAGAAGAGCGATGGTTGTTCACTGTCACCTATATTTTGGATACAGTCATATGGAAAACAACTGCAAGAAAGAGGACAAATCGGATGCGTTCTTTAAGTGCGGAGAAGTCTAACATAAATTATCAGATTGTAAGAAAAACACAAGTCGCAGACAGCAGAGGATTCGGAGTCTTCAAGTCAGTCTTTAAGGAGACAAAAAAGTCCCTTACAAGAACAAACACGAAAGGAAGGATTAACTTAATAATACAGTTCATGATACATTAAAACACACTGTAAAGGTAGGCATTTTCATTTTCAGTGCTTGTGGAACTGAGAATTTCTATGCGTGCATCGCACCTATCGGTGTTGACACAGTAAAATTCACTCATCATGCTTTGACAGACTGTTTTGCAGTGTAAGATTGTGCATTGTGCTTTTAAGTTAAACCTTTTTTCCATGATGAAAAAAAAGGTCAGAAAAAGAACTACACAGAAGAGTGAGAACCGAAATGTAGTTCCGTTGGTGAGGCAGTGCTGCCATGTAAAACAAGGGAAAGAATTTTTTTAGTGTAGTAAGAACAGACTGTTACAAACCCACAGTATTCAAATTGGGTCTCCATTAGATTTTTCAACTCCCACCCAAAAAATCATAATGTGTAAAAAAGTTTCGTTTATTTCATGCATTTTTAATTAAATTAATTATTAAAAATTATAAATTCTGACATTGATTAAAGAATCCGTTGGGAAAAGAGAGGAATAAAATACCTGATCGATGAGATCTTCGAGGCGATTTCTCACTTCAATTTCCTTTGCTGGAATTTGAACTGGTGGTGCATCAAGAGGACTTCCAGGTCTCGAAAGGCAAGCAGCTGCAGCTTCGCACGCTTCTACAGCCACAGCAAGTCTTCCTTTCTCAGCTTGAAGTTTATTGTGAAGAATTCTTGCTCTTTCTAAACTCTCCTCGGCTAATATTAAATTGTCAAGAGGTGCTTGAAGTTCTTGAGCAACTTCTGGCTCGTAGGCATCCAAATTGTTTGTAATACTCTCTAATGTATTCTCATATTCTTGGAATTTGGCGTAGGACTCGGCTAATCTGCTTTTAATTTGCAGAGCAGTATTCAAAAGAGAATTATAACTTTCTTGAACATTTTGAAGTTGAGTCTCAATGGTTTGTCTTATTGTCGGTTTAGCTGACTCGTAACGGTCAATTTGTCCATGTCCCTTGGCCTTGAGATCATCTAACACTGATTGATATTTTTGAATTTCTTCCAATAAATTTTCATGTTGCTTCATTTGTTCGATAGTTTGCTCTTTGTTAGTGATATATAGAGAGTTGTGCGACATCAATTGGAATGAAATTTGCAATAGCCATTTTTCTGTTTCCTGAAGAGCTGAATGATAGGCATTGTATTCTTGTACTTCGCTTTCGACTAATTTTTTCTGTTCCTCAACTCGATCTCCTAGATTTTGCCAACGATTTTCAAGTAATTGTGTTTGCTTTTGGCAGGTATCATCTTTGGACCATTTAGAGAGTTCATTAGCTTCGGTTAATAAATGATCCAAATCAGATCGCTTACTCTTGACTTCATCAGTTAAATGCTTACATTTTTCTAGTAATGTTTTCATTTCACCAAATTCACCTTTTGTATCAGGTAAGACTTGAAGATTTTCTTCAGTTTTTGATAGCCATCGTTCAAATCGATTATGAGCTTCGGTGTAATCATCCCAACGATTCAAAACAGATTTAATTTGAGCTTGAACCGTGTTGAGATCAATGCTTAATTGTTCCCAGCTTAATCTTAAGGCTGCCATGTCATTTCTGAGCTCATCTTGTTGTTCAGGCAAAGCTGTATTGATTGCCTTTGCAAAAGCATTTTGAAGAGTTGACAACAAGTGTTGGCCCTCTGTGATTCTCGTTGATACCAACTGAAAAGAATTAAGTTTTTAATTATGAATTATGATTGTCCCAGTAGGATTAATATTAGGATGAGGGAAGGATTTTCTGAGTGAAATTCCTAAGACAACGATATTGTAAAAGATATTTGATTGCATTGAAAAATATTTTGTTTTCATCTTACCTTTATTGTTTGTAGTTTATCCTTCGCCCAAGAAACATCTCCAACACCAACACAATCTTGAACAGATCCATGAGCTGTTTTTAGCCATTGTTCAAGCTCCTTTTTGGCCTTCAAGAATTCTGTATGATCTGATAAATTCTTTTCTACTTTAGATACCAAACCTTGAGCATCAGTCAAAAGACAAGTGTAGGCAGATTGAAGATGAACAGTGTTGTCCCTCGCCCAACTGCATGCACTTAATTCCATTAAATTTTCACACTTATCGTTCAAATCTTCAAGAACTGGTTTTTGATTTAAAGCTTCCTCAACAAGCTTTTTGCATCTAGCCAAATCTTCAGGAGTTTTATTTTCCTTTAATTGTTCTTCATTTATCTTTTTCTGAAATTGATCAATCCACTTTTTCATACCATCTAATGCGCTCGTAAATTGTGACCAAGATCCAAGACAGTTTGAAAGAATATTCTGAGTCTCATGACAATGAGATTGTAAACTATTCCAATCGGCTTGGAGTTGGCTCATGTCCTGATTAATTATATCTTGACCTTCGGGTCCAGTTGTTAAAACTACCGATTGACTGAGCTCGATGACTTTGGAAATTAGCGATTGACCTTTTGGTAATGATTGAATAATGTGATTAACTTTTTTTTCTCGATCTATGACTATTTCTTTTTCACCGTGAGTATCATTGTTGTGTTGTAATTCCAGTTTTGTTGTTCGAACCCAATCCGCTGCGTCATTGTAGGCTTGTTGATAATTTTCATGTTCCTTTACCTGAGCTTCGAGACTCTGCAATTGTAAATTAGTAAAATTTTAGTAAGCTATTTAAATTATTAGAAAAATTTAACTTACCTTGACTTTCTGAGCCACCAATTTTTGTAGATCCTCGTATTTGACAAGAGTTGCATCATAAGGAGTTCTCAGAATATTAGTGTCTTCAGCGAGTCTCGATTTTAATCGATCAATACTTTCCCCGTGAGCCTGAACATCTCTTTGAACAGTTTTGTATTTTTCGAGTAAAGCTCTCTTTTCGCTGAGATCGTTTCTGTGAACTTCTTCTAATTGAACCTTGCTTTCCACTTCCTCAATCCAATCAGTTATCAAGCGATGCATTTTGTTTAATTCTTCCAAGACAGCGGCTCTAGACGCAAGCTTTTGCCTCACTTCCTCAACATCGTACAATAATTTTTCAAAATCAGCTTTCAAATTCTCAGTGTTCTCTTGTATTTTTGCTGCTCCATTTTGTTCAGTGTTCATTATTACCTTTTCTTTCAATTCAAGTGCATAGCGAAGCTTATTTTGACCTTGTTCTAAAGTCTGACGAATAGCCTTACAGGTCTGTAATTTATTATTCACTTCGGTGAGGGTATTTGGCACTTCTTTACATTCAGCAAGTTTATCACGAGTTCTTTCAATCCAGTCTTGACATTCTTGATATAAAGTATTGTGTTGTTGATGCTCTTGATAGTGTAATTCGAGTCTTCTCATAATTTCCTTTGCAAGAGACAAAATAGCATTGTATTTTGTTGTCAATTGTGTAATTGCATTGGATATTCTTGTATCTGCACATGTTTCTAAAAGAACTTGTGCTTTCATATTTAGTCGATCTAATTCTCTCTGCCAGTCAAAGAGTGTTTGAAGATGAACCTGAAATTGTTCGAGAACATTTTTCTTTTCTTCCAAACTATCTTGAAGTTTATTAAATGACTGAACCAATTGTTCGGTTTGATTTAGCCACTCAACAGCTTCGGAATATTGATCCTCGTACTCGGTCCACTTTACAATTCCTACTTCCAACAAACTTTTTGTATTGTTCAATGAGTCTATATAATTATCATATTCTTCTTGAAGTAGAGCAACTTCCTCCTCAATTATTTCTTTATCATCGGCATCAGCTATTTGACATGCCAAATTTCCTTGTTCAAGTGCCTTTTCCAATTTTTTCTGACCCTCGGGTAATTCACTTTGAAGAACTTTTAGTTGTGTTATTTTACTGGCCAGAGATTCTTTATCACCAGTTGGTTCAGAACATTTTCCTAAACGTTCCTTAGCCACTCGGATCCATTGAATGAATTCATTTCCACTGTCTATAAATGCTTGATGTTGTTCGACAGTCTCCTTTTGTTTGGCATAAAGTTCCTGAGCTTGTTTACTAAGAGTTTCGTATTTAATGGAAATTTCCGTAGCTGGTGTAGCTTGCTGAAGATCCTCAGCTTTTGTCGTTACGGATTGTATCATTGGCTCGAAGGCTACAATATCTTGAACAATACTGTTGGTCTGACGAAGATTAGCCTTTCGTTCTCCAATTGCAAGAGAACTTAATCCAGCTAAACCTTTTCTGGCTTTTGAAACTTTTTGTTCACAAACTTGTTGTAGTTTTGCCTCACGATCATTAATCCATTGTTGGAGTTGCGAATAAGAAGAACTGTAATCAGCCCATTGAAGAAGACTTGTTTCCAAATGAACTTTTGTTGTGGAAATTTTCTTCACCAATCGTTCCCAATCATTTTGAATTTCTTTTAATTGAGCAGCAATTTCTTCACGTCCATCAGATCTCGTATTTCTCATTACTTTCTCACCACAATTAACAGTGAGATGAACAAGATTTTGTCCTTCTTCTCGTTTTCTCAAAAGTTCCTGAATTTGATCCAATCGACTTTGGAATTCCTCTCGACTACTAGTGGAAACAGCTTCTGTACCTTGGCGAATTATTTGTTTTGCATTCTCTATCCAGTCGCGAGCTTTGCCAAGATTCTTTTCATATTCTTTATGTTGAGCCAAATTTGTTTCAACTTTATTAAGCACATCTTTGGCAAGATTTACTTGAACTTGATAACGTGAATTCAAATGACGAAGTTGATTATTGATGTAAGTGTCCAATTGAGTTGTGAGAAGAGTGGAGGCAATTTTATTAAACTTGTCAATTTGATCCTGTCCTTTTGTAAGATCATTGAGAATATCTTTAACTTCTTGAACTTGTTTCTCTTTCTCTTGAACATTAGGTAGAAGAGCATTTTTCTGTGCCTTGATTAAAATATCAATTTGTTGTAACCAATCACTGATACGTTCGTATTCGTCCTTGTAATCTCGCCATTTACTCACTGTTGCTTCGAGTTGATCTTTTTGTTGTTTTATGTCTTTAAACAAATTTTCAAAACTTTCGGTTAGAGCTCGTATCTCGTTTTTGATAACTTCTTGACCTTGTGGACTGGTACTTGCGCAAACAACATTTCCAGTATGCTGAAGATGTTCAACCATAAGTTCGCCTTGTGCTTTTTTGTTTAATAAACCTTCAAGAGGAACGACTGCATTTTCAATAGCTAATTTATCACTTAAGGGACGTTGTTTCATTGAAGGTATTTTCTCCCTGGCTCGACTTAGCCAACCAATTAAATCATCATGAGCATCTTTATAAAGACGATGATCCTTGTATTGTTCTTCCCTTTCTGCCAATAGTGATTTAATCCTCTCTGATAAGGTATCAAATTTACCAAGAATCTCCTGAGCTTCAGATGTTGCTAAACTTTGTTGACCACTGGTAATCATTTCAGCGACTTTTGATTTTAAACTGTCAACTTCAATATTCTCACATCGAACCTTTTCCTCGAGGGCTTTCACTCTTTCCAATTGTGATCGTTTCTCTGTCATTGTCGTTTGGAATTGGGAGATGTCATCAACTGATGATTGCATATATTCAACAGTCTTATTAATCGATTGAATTTGTTCCAACAATCCAGCCCATTTATTGATCAAATCATCGAGATTTGTTTTGGTCTCTATCATCTTCAAGGCTAATGATCGCCATTGCTCTTGAACTTTCGCCAATGAATCATTGATTGCTTGATGTCCAGCCGGTGCTGTATTTGCCAAAACAACTTGAGCTAATTCAACAATACATTGCACCTTTGCAAAACCATCATCTTTATAAAGCAACATTTCCTGGATCATATCCAATTTCTTTTCTAATTCCTTTTGTGTTGATGTACTTAAATCTGAACAGTAGGCTAATTTATTTTTGACATCCTCAAGCCAAGCTGAACATTCAGAAAGTTTTGTTGCAAATTCTTGATGGCATGTGACATATTGCTGCCAACGATTATTTAATTCTTTCACCTTACAAGAGATTTGTTGATACTTGACACCTAATTCTGAGGTTTGTGAAGAACGAGAAGTTAAGTTTTTATGTAATACTTGTGCTCTTTCGGAAACAGCGTCAATTTCAAGTTCCTTGGCTCTCACTTCACCTTGCAGGACTCGCAAATTTTCCAGCTGATCCTTCTTCTCCGCTAGTGTTGATTTTAAATCAACTGCATGAAGTTTTGTGTCAGTTTCTCGTATCCAAATGAGACATTTTTCTCTTGAAAGTTCAAATTCATTCCACTGTTGTAGCTTTAGTTCTAGAGCTTCAAGTGTAGACTTAACAGCTGATACTAGACTTTGCCATTCTTGTTGTGATGAATCGATTTGTGATCTTATGTTCACTTGACCACTCTCCAATGTTCCGGGAATGACTTTCTCACCAAGATTACGAATCTGTCGAATTCTCGGTTCTTCCTCAGGCAGAGTTTGTAACAAATTTCGTAAACGATCCAAATTTGTGTGAAGAGAAACTCTTTCAATATCCGCGTCTCCCCAAAGATTGACGGCATTATGAGTAGCGTCCAACCACTCATGAGTGTCCAAAACAGCCTTGCTGTATTGTTGATGATCACTAACAATTGCCTCGTATCTGGAAAAAGAAGCAAAATATAAAATAAATTCAAAAAAATAAAAGACATTTAAAAAAAAAACTTCCGACTTACTTTTCTACAAATCCAGCAGCACGTTTCAAAACAGCTGCATGTCTTTCGCCTAATTCTTTCAAGATACTGTCAATTTTTTCCGTTCCATCTGGTAGATTGTCAGCTTTATCGCGAAGATTCAATAGATCTTGTTGATGAATTTGTGCATCATGCAAGAATGTTCTGTAGATTTGCAATTGTGCTCGCTTTTCATCGAGAGTATTTTTTAATTCCATTTCTGGTTTTAGATGAGTTTCTGTTGTTTTGAGCCATTTATCGAATGCCTCACTGCACTCATCAAATCCTGACCAGCAGAAAATTTTAGCTCTAATTTCACGTTCCGTTGATGTAACACCATCAAAAAGAGTTTCAAATGCCTGCTGAAGATCCAGTAATTGCTGACGAATAATTTCTCTTCCTTCCTTTCCAGTTGTTGGATAAATACGTTCACCAGCTTCAACAGTGGAATTTACAAGCAACGACAGTGAAGCTTGCCTTGCTAATAATTCATTGAGAGTTTCAAGAAGTAAAACCAATTCTTCACGTGTTCCCGAAAGATTTTCTCGTATTTCTTGATAACGTTGTTGAGCAGCTGATAAACGTTCCAAGCATTCTTTATATTTATCTAAATAAGCTGTATGATCTGAAGTAGCTTGATCGCATTTTTTCACTAATTCCTGTTAAACATAATTACGAAGTGGATTTATTTCTTTTTCAAAAGGGGTTTTCAGTTTGAGATTGAAATTTTTTTAAACTAGCATTTTAGTAGGAAAATAAATTACCTTAGCTGTTGTCTGAATCGATTGAAATCTGGATGTCACCTGTTGAACACTAGCAGAAAATCTCGTTTCTCCGCTGATTTGAACCAAATCGGATGAATCGTCACTCATTTTATCAAACTCAGCTTCATTTTGCCTCAGATTCACCAATAAAGACTGAAAAAATACACTATTTGTAATTTCATTTTGAAAAATCAAATCTACACAATAGCTCTCTGAGTAAAAGAAAAATGTGTAAATTGACTCATTTTAAATCTAAATTTGAAATAGAAAATAAAGAATTTTAAAGTGCTTTAAAAAGAGCAAAAATGCTGAAAAATGATGCATGATAAGATATACCCAGATCTTTCAACCAATGCGGAAAATTATTTCTATTTGGAAGCATAGAATAATTTAAATAGATTTTATATTTTTATTAAATCCCATTTTTATTAGAAAATCCCATTTAAATGAAAGCTATAAGATATATTCCCTGAAACCAATTTCATTCCAGCGATGAAGAAGCTTAAAGAAAATAACAAGCTTTTGTTCAAAGAAGTCTTGAATTGAAATTAATTTTTTCTTGTTAAAATTAAAAAAAAAATCAAACTGAAAAAAGAAATTGAAAAGAATGTCGAATTAAAAGAAATAAAATCAAATGCTGAAAGGCAAATGCAAATTAAATTTCTACATCCCAAGCTTTTAGGGATTCTGTCTGAGATCTTACTTGATCAAGGTGGTCACCAAGAGCAACCAATTCCATTGCATCAGTGTTCCGTACTTCCATTACCTTTAGCAGATCCTGAAGAATTTATCATCAGAATTTTTACCATTTTATTAAATTAAACCCCTTTTAACTTTTCTCAAAAAAAGTATTAAGAAATCTCAATTAAAAAAAAAAAAATTAGATATCGTACCTGATATTTTTCTAGCTGCTCCTGCTTTTCTTCAATCGTATTCTTTAAGCAGTAATTTTTCAATGAACATTCAGCTTCAGATAACCAGAGAAGCAAACGCTCCAATGAATTTTCATATTCACTCCACTGTTGAATTCTCTCTTCGATATTTCGAACAGCATCACTTACGGCATTTGCAAATTTCTTATTTTCGAGTTTTAAATTTGTCAAATCTCTCTCCATTGATTCTTGAGATCTCGGGGATAGGGTTTGAACATTTTGTGTGACATGTTTTTCTAATACGTTTAACTTTACTTCCCCTTCACTGAGATTGTCCTGAATCTCAATTATCTTCAGTAATCTGGCTTGTAATGCAGCTTTATTACCAGTGGAATCACTATAATTTCCCAAACTCTCCCATTGTTGTTTCTGATAAGCTTGATAGGATTTTTGCAAATCATAAAACTGTTGAAGGAAATCAAGAACTGATTCTAAATTTGATATACCTTTTTGAGAAGTCTCTACCAAATTTTTGTATCTTTGCAAAATTGAATCCACTTTTTGATGATCGATTCTTGCCTGTGACAATTGAGCTAGAGCATTAGCCTTCTCTGAAACACCCTCAATAATTCGCTTATGGGAAAGTATTTCCTGATGTATAGCTTTATTTTTCAACAATTTTGATCGAACTTCCTGCAATGAGGACCAACCAGTTCCAGAATCTTGTTTTAACGTTCTCTCCATTCCATTTAACCATGTTAAAATTTGTTGTAAATTTTCTTGATAATTGGTCCATTGTATACTTTGTGCATCTTGTTTCTTTTGTTGCTCGAGAATTCCTTCGTTTAAATTGTCCCATCTTTCTCTAGTTTTTCTTAGTTCTTGTCTAATTTGCTCACGACCTTGAGCTGAAGTATTTGGTAGAACTTTTTCACCAGCTGCAATCAATTTAGAAAGTCGATGTTCAGCTTGCTCTTTTTCAGCAAGAAGAACCTGTAATCTCGATCCTTTGGCATCCAAATTGCCGCCAATCTCTTCTTTTTTCAGAGTTTGAAGATTTTGCTCGAGAGGAGAGAGCCATGCTTCAGTGGCCTTTAATTCTTCATCGTATGCTTTATGCTCGTCTACAATATCTTGTCGTTCACTGATTACTTGTTTGCTACGAGCTAGCAATTGACGATACCTGCAAGAAATAAATTGTTTAATTAAATTTATGGCTGTAGCGTAATATTTTATTTAGTGACTTATTCGCGTTATTTAAAAATTTAGTGGTTTAGGTTTGATTTTTGGTAATGTCATCCCTGAGTGTTGCCATGGAAACAACGCATGTCGATTAGCATTTTGATGAACGAAGTTGACAGCGTGGAAAGAAATGACTCGACTCTTGTACTGATCATCATTGATCTTGTATTGATTTTATAAATTTTTATAGTGTATTATATGATAGTGTTCTGGATTGGAAATTATTAAAAGATTGATAAAGCATATCCTCTTGTTATTGTCGACAAAGGATTTATTATGTTTAAAAAATTTGATAAAGAATACAATTGTAGAGCAACAACCAAAGTGAGTAAAAGTAAATATTATATCTGAGTGCAATTAATTGGTTTAACCCCAACATAACCTGCTATTGAAATAGGAGAATTCTTTAATGTTCTTAAAGTAAAGTTTACGAAATTTTATTTGGCGACCGCGGCATTTTTTTGAAATATTATTTTATAAAATGTATACTCTTAGCGGATTTAAATCCGGCATATTTATTTATAGGCGGGACACACATCTTAGTATATAAATTCAGGACTACTTCCAGACTAATTTGGAATTAATCCGCAACAGTCTGGTTCTGACTAAAATCAGATTGTTGAGGACTAATTGCGGATTGATTTCATCCGTTTTGATTACTGACTAATACGAATTATTTTCAGATTGTGTAACAGGAAATATTATTATAAAATATTAAACAAAACTTTTTCTATAGTCGACTAAACAACGGTTAATCGGCAGCGTGACTTGGGACTAGTGCTGGATCCTGCTTTAAGCTATAACGATCACATTGATTTTGCGAAGGTACCTCATAGTTTAGATAGAGAATTTGACGACGTATACTGTAAGTAAATTTCCGATTATTAAAACCAATTGTCGAAAACGCTCAGTTTTATTATTTGGTTTATCACAGTGAAAATTACTCGTTTCAATAGTTTTCATCATGAACTTATCCACCGAAAAAGAATTATAAAATAACTATTTTTTGAAATACTGACCTATTATCAATGCTCAGAATTAGAGGCTGAATTCGTTCAACTCCACTCGAATTCAACAGACCATGGGACTTGTCAACAAATCCATCTATTTCCTTTTCTCGTTTGATGAGAATATCTCGTTTTTCTTTAAAGTCCTGAAGACGTTCTTCCTTGTCCTTTAAAGTCGGTTGCAACAGTTGATCTCTAAAAGCTGCTTCTAATGGACGTAACCAACTCGAATGAGCTTCTAGATGATCTTCAAAGTCTTGCCATTTCTTGAGTGCTCCGTTTTGTTTAGCTTTTGCTGATTCTAGATTAATTAAAGAATATCTTTAATAAACAGTACGCAAAAATTAACACTAATTCGATTAAACTGTACAAACCAATTTCTGCCTGATGATGTTTCAGCTTATCTTCTAACGTTAATAATTCCTTATTAACAGCTTCCTGTCCTTTAGGATCTGTACTTTTCGACACAGCAGTTACTAATTCCTTGATTTCTTGCAGCATATCGTTTCCTTGATTTTTTCTATCGGACAAAACAGCTAAAGTAGCTAATCTTCTCGAAATTTCACTCCTCTCTCCAGAAACATCGTTACATTCATTTAACATTTCAATCTCCATTGCTAACCAATCATTGAAACCAATACATTTGAGATTAAATCGATTATGCTTTTCGGCACAATCTTCTAAATTGTCAAGCAAATCACGTGATTTAGAGACGATATTTTGAAACAGTTGTTTTATTGATTGCAGATAGACGTTTAGAGAAGTATCCTTAGTTTGATCCACCAACTGTTGAGCTTTGTCACAAACTGACTCAACTAATGTTTGATGGGACATAATCTCCTGATGCATGATCTTGTGATTTTGAAGCTGTGCTCGTTTCTCCTCTAAAGTTGATTTGAGTTCTGTATGCTGATGCATTGCTCTTTCAACATCACGTAACCAGGCAGTTAATTGCTCTTGGGAGAGAGAAAATTCTGCAAATTGCATTAAACACTGATCGAGTTTTTGCGTTGCCGATTGAAGTTCTTCTGAAAATCCATCCCAGAGTGTTCTTAAATTTCTCAACTGTTGACGAACTATTTCACGACCCTCGGGTGAAGTGTGAGAATATAATTTTTCACCAAGATCAATTATCGATTCAAATCGAGTATTCTCTTTTGTTCTTGTATCACCGAGATTGCGAATACTTTTCTGACGATTTTGAAGAACTGAAAGATCACCAACAATTTCACTATGTTTCTTTAGTTCATCTTGAACTTCATTGATCCAGTTAATAAAGTGATTATACTTTTCATTGAATGCCTCGTGTTCTTTGACAAATTCTTCATAACGTGCAACAGCTTCTTTCACTTGATTTTTGATTGCTTGATACTTGGTGGATTGTCGTGAGATTCTATTCACCAGTTCGGATTCAGCTTCAACATTTTGACTTTTTTCTATCGCGGCATTTAATTCAGGACCCTTTGCTGCAATTTCCTCTTCAAGACTCTTTAATTTGTTTAAATGAGCTTTCTTTGCTTCTTGTGTACTTTTTAGACTTTGATCCTTAACTTGAGTCTCCATTTGTTTTGTCCAATTCTCTAGAGCTTCAATCATCTTTTGGAATTCAGACCACTGATTAAAGAGAGAATTTAATTTTTCACGTGATGCTTCGCATTTTGTTAAGAAATCGTGCCAAATCTTCTTTTGATCCTCGTAGGATTTTAAAAGAGCTGGATGACCAGCTATTGATGTTTGTTCAAGAATTATGTTTAATTGTTGATTACAGTCTTCAATTAGACGATCGCCTTCATTTCTCTGCTGAAGAGTGTTTTCTATTAAATTAATTTTAGCTTTTGCAGCGTCTCTTTCAATTGACAAATCATCCAACATTGGAGTTGACTCACTAACAATTATATTTATCCAATCTCTCATTTTATCAAACGTTTGAAGGTAGGCTTCATGATTTGATACATATTTCTCAGCGACATTCACTTTACCTTCAACATTTTCAGCGAGTTTATCATAAGCCTCAATGACATTAGTAAGCATATCGCTGGATTCATCATCATTATCATCATCAGGTACATTGCCCAAACGTTCTTCAAGTTGTTGTAAAATATTTTTATGAACACCCACATCTTGAGCAATTGTTTTATAAGAATGAAGAGCAATTTTTTTCTCTTGAAGAGTTGGTTGAAGATCTGGCATTTCACTTAATTTAGCTTGAGCGTCAACAACCCAACGTTTCACTTGAGTGTATTTGTCTTCAAATGATGATCTGTGCATCATATCACTTTCAATTTTTTTATAAGCGGCATTAGCACGATCAGTTAGTGCATCGACTCTATTTCTAAGATTTCTTAAATCAGCTCGAATGATTTCACGATGATTGGAATTAATTTTCGAGTATAAATTCTCACCAGCCTCAACTGTTCGATTTAATATTGCCTGACCCTCTTCTCTTTTTTTATTGAATGCTTTCAGTTCCTTTAGTTTATTTTGATAGAAGCTGATCGGTTTTGGTCCAGTGATTTCATCAAAGGTATTAAGCTGATTCTCCTTAGCTGTTAGCCAATCTTCCAATTCTTTGACACTACATTTATATTGATCCCTTGTATTTTGCAGCTCTTCCAATTTCTTTAAATGTTGATTCAAAAATTTTTGTATTGTTTGATATCTCGTGTTCAAATGACCCACGTATTGTCCAACTCTAGATTCTGGACTAACTTTCGTTATCTGATCTCCTAATGCAGTTAGATCTGATACTTCTTTTTGATATTCCATAACTGTATTTCGTAAACTGTTGATTTCTTTGATTTTATCTTCAATTTCTAATGGACCAATTAAGGAAGATCCCTCTGTTCTTATTCTGTTTTCCATTTCTTTTAGCCATGATCCAACATTTTCCGATTTTGCTTCATATTCTTGCCATAAAGCTATATTATTCTCTAAAATATTTTTGATCTTCTCATAATTAGTTTTAAGATTATCAAGATCATTTGCAACTTTTTCACGTTCACCGTGTAATGTTGACATTGTTTCAAAACTTTCCACAGTCTCAAGAAGTTTCATGAAATTGTCACTGTCTGCTTTTCTAGCTTCACAATCAGCAATTCCAGCGGCAATATCTTTTAATGATGACATTTTAACTTCAAGATTGTATTTATCACTGCTTTGTTCAGGTTCACACCAGGCAATTTTCTCCTTGTGAACAGTCACCATTCTTTGGAGAGCTCCAAATTTCTCATGATAGAGTTTTGTTAAAAATGCCACCAATGTTGCGTTTACTTTATCCGCGTGACTTGCTACACCATCTCTTCTGAGCTGAAGTGCTTGAAGTTCTTTTGGTAAACTTGATCTGGATATTGATGGATAGGCCGATGTCATTTCTGTAAGCCTTTCATTAATCTTTGATAGTGAATAATCACATTTTTCTAAATCTTGCTTTAATTCTTGACATTTGTTGATTCTATTGAGGATTTTTGTGTTCTCTCCAGTGAGATCATCGCATTTGATGATATCTTCTCTGATTTTGGAAATAAGATCACTTGAGTGCTTTAATTCTTGACGAATGCTTTTCTCTTTGTCACTAAGGGTGGTGGTTAGGGATTCCAGTTTTTCTGCTGATTCCTTGACGAATTTGAATTGATCATCGAGTAGTTGATTTAAGGAAGTTAGAGTTGGTATGTTAACGTTATTGTTGAGTTTGATTAATTGCTCGATCTTTGCAGCGATTCCTTGACGAATCATATGATAAGCTGGTAATTCCTCGTAGTATTTTGCTAATCTAGCTTGACCTGTTTCAGCATCGGATAGACGTTCAATAGCCGATGTGATTGCTTCATTAGTGTCACTCAACCATCTTGTTAGATCGTATTTTGCTTCGTCAAGTTGTTTCCAAATTGCAACTTGGGTTTCGAAAATTTGTGTTCTCTCAATGACATTCGAATAAATTTTCTGATAGTCTTGTCTGATTTTAGAAACATCAGATTCAATGGACTCAGTTTTGAATGATGGCATCAGGGATGCTTCTTTTAGTATTTGTTGAGTTTTCACTTCCATTTTTTCTAAGAACTGTTTACCTCTTTTTAAAGTCTCCAATTCTCTCTTGTATTTATCCAAGATTACGGTAGCTTGGGTAATGTCGTTTGGCACTTCTTTTGAAGATTGGCACAAATTTTTTGACTCTTCTAAAAGAATGTTTAATTTCTCTTTTGCTTCTTGATATTGTCGCCAATCGTTTTCCATATCCATGTATTTTTTTTTACTTTCGTAAAGAAGATCATTTACTTTCTCCCAATTAGAATCGACTGATGATAAAACAACTTGAATGTTGGTCATTGCTCTTTGATCTTCTTTTAAAAGTGTATCACCTTCTCGATGTAATTGATCTTTCTCGTTAACACACTGTTGATGTTGTTGAATGAGATCATTGATTCTCTCAATGGTAGGTGATAATTTTTCACAAGTATCAACATTTAAGGTAATTTCCTGAAGTGTTGTCTGAGTAGTGACAACTTGTTCATTAATTTTCTGTTGTAATTTTCGGAAAATGTCCCATCTGGCACCAAGACTCTGAAGCTTATCTCTTTTTGTTGCTAATTCTGTTCTTAGGGTCAGGGCTTGAGTCTCGAGATTGTTTACCAAATCTGATGCTGTTAGAGGTTTACCTTGTTTATCTTGAATTCGAACACCTAAGATATTGTCCATTAGTGGTACTTGCTCCTTCCAGAAGTTGATTTTCGATTGAATTGTTTGCAATTCCGAAGAGATGCTTTCCAAATCAGTGATAGTGGGTTTTCTCGCTTCTGATTGATACTTACAGTGACTTAATTGAGCACTTGCTTCATTTTGCCAGTTTAGGAGTTCTACCCATTTCTCTAGAGCTTTCTTTTTTCGCTGAAGATCATCCTCGAGAGTTTTGTACTTGTCAGCCAAGGTACTGTAAATATCGTCAAGAACAGCAGCTTCTTGAGGTGAACTGGAGGCTGTTAGATGTTTAACTTCATCATAAATTATTGTAAAATTGGGTTGTTTTTCAGAATGTTCTTGTAAAAGAGCATGAACTGCTTGTAAGCTAGTGTCTACATTATTGACGTCAACATTGTTAATTTCAGCAGTGTTTGATCTTAGTCTACTCATCCAATTTTCAAAATCGGTTATTTTTATTTGAAATTCTTGTCTTGCAAGCAGTGCATCTGATGCTTTATTTATTTGATGACGAACTGTATCTGCAAGTTTATTGACTCTAGTTTTTATTTCTGAAACTCTGCCTTTCAAATTTGTTGCACCTTCAAGGGATAATCCATGACTAATGTGATCTGAGACTTGTGTGAGAGAAATTAATTGTGCTTGATGATCGGAAATATCCTTATTAAAGTTTTTCATTCTTGAGAGTTCTTGCTCAAGTTTACTGATCTCTGGTGTTTGGACGTTTGGTTCGATCAGTGAAGCCTTCTCACTTTTTTGTAACCATTCATTAAATTGTTGAGCATCTTGTTCGAAAGTCTTCCAAGATGATACCAATTTATCTAATTTTGTTGTGGTTTGAACTGCGATATCGTGAACCGCATTCCAGCGAGTATTCACTGCATCGACTTCATCGGGTGCAGCACCTTTGCCAGCGATATTTTGACTCTTTTCAGTGAGTTCTTGAAGTTGAGGTAGATAGTGATCACACTTTCTTTCGAATTCCTTGGCGACTCTAAGCATTTCAGTGGCTTGAATTAAAGTCGATGGTTTTGATCCAATCATTGCTACTTTTGATTCAGCTTCTTCTATCCATGGTTTTAATTTTTGAATACCAATTTCATATTCTTTCCATGCTTGTAAATTTTGTGCTGCTAAATCACGTTGATCATCAATACTTTTGTTGAGTGTTTCAACTTGATTTCGTATCTTTTTTATATTCTCCTTGAGTTCAACAGCTTCTGGATGACGATCTTCAGTTGGAACAAGAATTTTGGATTCTTTTTCCAAAATTTTAAGTATCTCTATTTTCTCGTGGATATGCTTTTGTAAAATTTCTGTACGACGAACTCTCTCTTCAGGCGATGTTGATGAATCAATATTGGCAATTGATTGTGGAGCATTTTGATAAGTCCAAGTTTTAAGATCAGAAAGTTTTGTTTGAAATGTATTCCACTTGACATTGTACTCTTTAAGTTCAATGACTTTTTTCTCAACTCTCTCGAGAGTTATTTCTAATTTATTCGTTGTTTCTTGAACCTCTACCGTCAATTGTGGCTGTCTTTCTGGTGATGTTACTGAACAAAGACTCTCTTGAGTTTCTCGTAATTTTTTCAACATTTCAGCTGCGTCTTTTCTCAATGATAAACTCAATTTCTCTTGTCTCTGTAAATCGGTTTGAATTTTAGTTGAATCATAATAGCCAGCCATTCTAACGTTTCGTAAATCTTCTTCAGCTTGAGCGATAAGTTTCAATATTTCTCGTTTTTGCTCATCGTAAGCGTTCCATAATTTTTCAGATAATTTCAAATTCTTCAAGGCTTCCATACTGTGGCCATAGGCGTCATTCCAACTTGATTCCAATTGTTGTACTTCTGTTGAGATGAAGGTTGGAACATGTTGATCTTTTAGAAGATCCTTACCTCGTTGTAGCATACTGACAATATTTGCTCTCTGCTGTTCAAGTTGAGTGATGCGAGTCTCTTGATGTTTCACTGCATCTTTGACTTTTTCTGGACTCTCCACAGTAATGGGTACTGTGGATTGTTCACAAACTTTTCGTAGTAGAGTACAAACTTCACGAACCTCCTTTCGATAGGTATAACTTTTGGAGTAAATTTCAGTTTTTGTCATTGTAATCTCTATGGTTGGTATCAAATTTTTATAACGAGTTATCAATTGCTCCAAATGTTTTTGCTCTGTTATTGCCTCATGATCTGATCGATTTGACGTCAGGCTGTCTAGAGTTTGTACCAACCATTTCATTGCCTCTCGTTGATTGTCAGCTTCTCGGCAAACTTTCTGCAAAAAATATTTTAAAAAACTGTTGTACTTTATTATGACTTTATTTATTGTCAGTATAAAATTTTTTAAAAATGAATTACCGTCAATATTTGTAGCTATCCAATGAAGCAAAATGAAAATTTTGATAAGCTTTTAAAATTTTAATTATAGATATAAAATTTATTCAAAAATTTTCTTACCTGGAAAACTGTTTTTTCTTTTTCAAATTCTTCAACGGAAGTCACTTCTTGTAAAATTGATCTTAATGTACCGTCAACTTGATCCATCCAACAAACCATTTCCAAGAATTTTTGTCTATAAGCAGCCCATTGTTCGGGAACTTGACGAAGTTGTTGCTTAAGATGATCAACTCTTTGATTAACATCCTGCCATAATTTTTCAGCTCTATGTGTTGTTTCTTCCAAAAAATTATCATTTGGCTGCAATTGATTATATGCTGAACTAATTTTTCTCAACGATTCCAAACAATGTTCAACTTGTACAACAATACCACGATTAACAAAAAATTCTTTATTTCTCTGAAGAATACTTCCAATATCTTCATTTTTAATTAATGCCTGTTGTTCGGCATTTATTTCGATTTCAATTTCCTTTAAATATTGTGTAAAAGCTGTTTCATCGAGTCTAAATTCAAGTCTCATCAAATGTAATGGTGCAAATGATAAAACCTCCTTCCAACGTCTTTGAAGTGCATCAACAGCTTCAACAACAGGTGCCTGTTGATCAATGGGTAAAGAATTTCTCAAATCATGACCAGCATTAACGAGATCTTGAATCCATTTTTCATTGACTTTACCAAAGAAATTTTTGTGATATTCAACTGATTGACGATTATCGATATGTTTATCGTTAATCAATGTCTCAGCAGTTGAGAGCCATTCGGAAATTTGTCTTTCACATTCGCGAAATTTCGTCCAACAACGAACGGCTTCTTGAAGTTTTTGTTCCCAGACCTGAGCAGATTGGAAGACATTGGCAAATCGATCATTTAATTGTCTTAGGGCAATTCCACCTTCAGCATTATTAACATCGGCGTGTGCATCAACAGATTTGACAATACTGGAAAAAACTTTATTCTTTGATTCCAACATTGATTTATAGTATAAACTTCTTGAGAAAAAAGCCTTGTGACGATCGAGTTGTGCTAAGGCTGAATCTCTTCCACCTGAAAGATTATAACTTGACAATAAACGTTCGGCTTCATCTAACCATGATGAAATTTCTTTTTGTCCAGCTTCAAGTGATTCTTGTTGCACCAAAAGCTGATGATAAAGATGTAATTGCATTGGAATTAGTGCTCGAACTCTAACTAAAGTTTCTTTCTCCTTTTTCAAAGTGTTCATCATTTTATCCACCTCATCTCTAGAAAGATCTTGAATTAGTGTTTGAAATTTTTTACTGATATTCTTAAATAGCTCCTCAATGCCTTCAACTTCTTCATGAAGTACTTTTAAACGTTCACCATAGGCTTTGATCTTTTCAGTTGATGTTAATTGAGCTGTTGATAGATCAGCATCAGCTTTCTTTAACCATGTCTGTAATATTTCAACTCCAGCTCGATAGTCCTTTCTGTTTCGTAATAAATCTCCAGCATGCATATATTGCTTTGCATCTTGGAAAAGTCTTTCCCATCTTGAGGTCAAGTTCATGTATTTATCTTTAAGCCGCAATGCAACCTGATAAATGAAAATAAATTGAAGAATTGTATTTTAATAGAAAAAGATTTATAAATAAAATAGAATTAAAGAATAATAATAATAAAAAAATAATTAAATTATAGAATAATCAGAAGAACATTATGATTAACAAAATTTTTTTAAGAAGCTTAATAACAAGATATTGATAAGAAAGTAATACGCTTATTTGATAAAAATTATAATTTTTTGCTCCACTAATATAAATGAGAGTGGGATCTGCAATCTAGGTCGCATTTAATAATCTCATTTTGTTCAGAATCTTCTTCTTACAAACACATTAAACGTAAGTCTTACAATTTTTTTTAAACTAATTTGGGATTTTACTTTTATAGTAAATAAAATATTTCTGAGGATTATAAAATATTTTTTTTGGAAATTGAATTAATTAAAATTTATACCTGCTCATCAGATGTAGCAATTAAAAAGCTAACAGTGTCCGATAGCTGTTGATATTTATCTTTCCAAACACTGATGTCCTGAAAGAATTCCATTTTTTCTTCTTCGGGAAAATTGAGTGCTGGCTCAGCTTTTATCAACCAATTTTCAAATTCATCTGAAACTAATCTCCAACGACGCCAATAGGCAACCACTTCCTCAAGCATACTCTGCACGCAACGAAGATCCATAGATACATTCTTCCATTTCTCACCAGTTTCTCTCATAAAACGATCAATACAAAAACTTGCCTCACGATCTGAAAAAAAAATCATTTCATTTTTTTTTTTATGTATTCAAAAATTATTTCTCTAATAATTGTGCACGAATACATACCAACATCACCTTCACGTTTATATTCATCAACAACCTGTTGCATATCCAAATAGGCCTTTTGAAACTCTTGAAATATTCTATTTTTAGAAACAAAATTTCTATATTGTTCAAGCATATCGTGAACTTTTTCCTCGCTACCATATTTAATGCTCCAACTTTTGAGTTTTGTCTCGACAAGAAAGAGAAATGCAATTAGACAACATTTATGCTCTAAAAATTTGAGTCTTATCCTTCTCTTGGCAGCACGAGTTGGAAGACTATCAAATCTAAAAGCCATGTTCTCCAATTGTTCTGATGGCAATTGTCTTGCAAGAGGTGAAATTTTTGCACGATGAAATTTTTCCACTACCATTGGCAAATCAAGGAAAAATTTCTTATGATCTTCCAATTTCATGGAAATTATACTGGCTGTCTCTTCGGTCATATCCTCTGGTATATCATCATCTGAATTTAACATCATTTCACCGCGAGCAAGCCACCTACCCAATTCTCCAAATTCTCCCGGTAGAGCTGAATCCAGCAGCCATAGCCATCGTAACATCTGAAAGAAAAATTTGTCAAACATATGTCATTATAATATAAAATATTAACGTTTATAAAAATCACAGTGCTTCTGAAGCATCGATGGGTTCGAATGAAATGAATCCAAAAACTGTTTGAATTGGTTTTTAGAAGAGTATTCGTAGATTTAAAAAAACTGCTGTGCTTCAAATTGTAACTGATCGTTTTCTGGACAAATCTAAAAATTACCTCCATTTTAAAAATTGTCTGTTATTTTTAAATATCAATGGGCTATGCACATGGTTAATATCATTATCGACTCTTCTTATTCATTAAGACTTAAAAAAGAAATTGTAGAATTCTTATCACAGCCTATTTAACGAGAGAACGTCTTAAGTGGTGAGACCCTGACATTTTATGTAACGCTCCAATTATATCAGAAATTACTTGTCTGTAGATCTAGCGAAAATCTTACAAGAATAAGCAATGAAAACTGCGCCTGTTCGGATGAACGGTGAAGAAAGTGACTTTTCAGAAATATAAAAATTTATCTCTTTGTTTTAGATTGGCAGTACAATGACGAAAAGTTAGTCGTTGAATTTGAAATGAGGCGGTTTAAATACTACATATTTAAATTATACAACTTAAAAACCCTATATGTAAATCCCTAATAACACAAGATATCTTGGGATATATTGATAATATCCCGCAGATATCCTAAGAATGTCCTACGGTTATCAAAAGAATCTCTTAAGGATATCCAAAAAATCGGCGAATTGGATATCCTTTGGATATCCAATGGATATCTGAGGATATCCACAGGATATCTTCTGCATATCTCTATAGACTCTTATAAATGTCCTCCAGATATCCCATAGATATCGTCAGGATATCCCACAGATATTTTCAAGATATTCTCAGTATATCTTCTGGATGTCAAGAAGATATTCTCAGGATACTGTTTTTAAAGTCATTATGAGACGACGAGTGAGAATATTCTGTGAATTAAATTTTATATAAATAAAATAAAATGCAACTTGTTTTTCGAGAAAGTTGTTTAATTTGAAAAATTATTAACTAATTTTTTTCTCATTCGTGATTCATTCCTTTATTCATATGCTTAATATTGTCAGAAAATGAATTGGCTTTAAACAATATAAATTCTTCCCCGCAAATAACGAATTAATATTAATTATACATTAAGTGCATGAGTTTATTTAAAAACTTTGAAAAATGCGTTTCAAATCTTCATTTAAAATAAATTAGAAGCTCATAAAATTTTTGTTTTTATTATATTATTATTCATTATATTAGCTTAACAAATTTAACCTTTAAAAATATATGTTGAGATATTAAATATCCCGTGAATATCCTAAGAATATCCCACGGACATCCTGAGGATATCCCACGGACATCCTGAGGATATCCCACGGACATCCTGAGGATATCCCATGGATATCCTGCGATATAATATCCAATAGATATTTTGTGGATGTCTTAGGGATATCCTATGGATATCCCAAGATATCCTGGGGACCATTCTAGGATATCGACCATTGATATAGATATCCTAGGGATATCCTTTTGTTATGAGGGAATAATATTATTTATTACAAAATAAATTTGTTTAAAGTTATGGAATTTTAGATTTTTTTATTATATTTTTATATATTACACATAACACTATTTATGACTTATTTTTGTGTGTGTGTGTTTTTTTTTAATCAAAACGAACGAATGATTTTTTTTTTTTATCAGAGTGAAGAGAAGATATCAATATAGAAATTACTGTTTTTTTACTTTAATTTCTTGACAAGATGTCATGAATTTTTTTTGGTGTTCGTTTATAAAAAATATATAATTAAGATGAAAAAATGAATTGTAAGTAAACATGTAAATTTCTTATTTGACTTAAAAATAATTAAATTTTTTGAAATTTTTTTTTATTTGATAAAGATTTTTTTGTTTCCTCAACTACGATATTTTTAATATTCTCATTTAATTAAAATTAAAGTGAAATTATATTAATTGAATGAAAAACAAATTTTTATTAAAGATATTTTATTTGTTTCAAATAAATATTAAATGTTTTGAATCATAAAAATAAAAAAGACAATAAAAATGTCAGTAAAATAATTTTTTAACGAATTTGGTCATATTTTATTGAAAGATTTCAAATTAATTTAATAAAAATTATGAAAAATTAATTATTTTATAATAAAAATTATTTTTAAAAATCTTCAAATTCATTGACGAACTTCTCGTGATTGTACTAACAAAAAAAAGGCTCAGTCTTAATCGTTGATCTGAGTTGGCCACCTATATTCTAAAAAGCTCGGCTATATTGATTTTATAGACAAAATGTTGATAATGTCACTTTCTAAACTGTAATACATTGAAATTAATAAAAACATTTACATTTTTATAATTATTAAATAATAATCATTTTAAAATGCATAAAACTTATTATTGATTATAATAATTAAACTATCAATTTCATCATTTTTTACAGATTTTACACAAAATTTTAATTCCAACCTTATGTTCCACGAATGTTCCACGAATTTGGTCGAACATTTGCATCATGCAATCCACCAAGGAATTTCTTTTGTAAATTATTTTTGATGAAAAAAATATTTTTCTCTGCATCTAAAGCAAATACTTCATAGGACATAAATTAAAGTAGACTTAATTATGAGTAATAGTCAAAACAACTTTCTATTTGTAATAGGATCGAAGTTATTATATTTTGAAAATGATTTTTTTTTTTTGGAAAATTTTTAATTTCTTGTTTCTATAGGATATAAATTGGAAAAATCTCCTTATTAAAATGGTTTTATGTTGTATTTAAAATAAAAGAAAGTCCAACTAATTTTGTAATAGCAGATGGTAATTTTGAGACGTTTTAAGAAAACGATCAGTTACAATTTGAAACACAGCAATTTTTAGATGTAAAAATACTCTTCAAAGAACCTAACAGTTTTTGGATCCATTTTAGTCGAACTCATCAATGCTTGAGAAAGTACTTGTAAAAATTTTGAAATTCAATTTTGAAAATGTAAAATTAAAACCTAGATTTCAAAACATACCTGTAATTCTAGTTTGTTCCATAAAATTTGTATATGTCGCCAAGAATCTCGAGTAATGCTGATCATACTCGGTGTGTCAACTAAGCTTTGTAATTTTTTATAAACAGGCAATTTATCTTCAATTTCAGTCTGGAAGGTTGTGTATTCCTGAAAATGTAGTAATTCAATTTTAAAGTTTTAATTTCGATTTATAGATTTCTGTATTTTTTTCTTTTTTTTAATTATGTTTCATTTGAGGGACTAAGTCAACTTACGGAGTAATTTAATGGAAAAGAGTTGGTTCTATCAAAATGCTCTAAATATCTGGTTCTTTCGTTAAGCCAACCTAATAGGGAATCATATTCCTGTTGAATAGCAGCAAAAGAATCGGGTCCAGTTGATTTTGGTTCGGGATATTTGTGCAAAAATTGAGCCACATAAGTCATAATAGATTTTTCATCTGGCTGAGGAACATCAACGTCTTCAGGATCTAAAAGACGTGCAATTCCCAATTCTGTTTCGGCAACCTGAAAAGCTGTTTCTAGACGAATTCTGTTTGTAGCTGCTCTCAATTCAGCCAAATTCACCAAATTCGCTTTTATCGCATCAATTATGGCTAAAAAGGCAACTCCATCTCTCCAACTTGCTCCAAAGTCTTTTACTTGGATTCCCAAATCTCTGCAAAAGTAATATTCAATATTTTTAGGTCTCCTAATTTTAGTTCTGATGTTAGGTTTGAAGCGGTACTCATGTGTATTCGTGTTGCTTGTTATATCGCGATATAAGCCGATCGGAGTTTCGAGTAATTTCGTGATTTCGGGTCTGTGGTGAGGGTTATTTGTCGATGATACGAGTGTCGCTCGATAAACTTAATAAGTGATTAGTTATTCGATCGTCTACCTCGTCATTGATAGCAGATTTCGGCTACACTCTCACGTGCCGGCCCGGGACACGGAAGGTGGGCTTTGTTTTATATTTGCAGAATTGTGCTTTCGAGTGATATTTTGTTTATTTGTTTGTTTTTGTTAATTTCGCTTCTCTTACAATTATTCAGTGTGGCCGTTTATTCCAAATATGGATTTAATAAATTTCTAATATTGGAGGGATGAATCTGTTGGTGAATGAACTCCAATCGGCTTCCCATTAGGATTGATCACTTAACATACCGGATCCCCACGAGTCATGTTTGAAGTGGATTGACCTATGGATGATGGATCGATGTGCGAATCTATTCGAAAATTGATTTGATTCTCCCACCGTACTTCAAAGTCATTTGATAAGTACCGATTATATTTTTGTATTTTGTTATTTATATAAATTGGGCAAGACACCTAATTTTGAAACGTATTTTATTGACGAGGGATCAGGATCGAATCAACTTTCATAATTATTTTTATAATATTCTCCGAATCGCGACATTTTATATTTCATTCTTATTTTATATTTATAATTGTATTGACTCATTGTATTGTGTGCAAGAGTGTTATCCTGCGCAGGTATTACGTATTTGATTATTGAAATTCTTGACGTGCTAAATAATTTAAATTATCATTATGGACGGATTTTATAAATATATCATTATTTTTTGACTACTAATTATTGTATTGATTTATTGTTTGTGTGATTTATTCTTGATTCATTTTAAATCGTATAAATTCCTTTTTATGTAAAAGAAAATTTGTTACAGATTTAAAAAATTAAAAATGCGTGATAAATCTTAACGAAATAATCTGTTTGTGAACCCGTGTGTAAGATTAATTAAAAAAAATACTTACTTTGGAAGAGCATTGGTGACCCATTGAAGTAGAGTTTTTCGAGCTCCTTGTTTCCATTTCTCGCTGCTGATGCGTTTTCTTTCGCTCGCTGCTGAACTTTGAGTTCCAATACTTTCGAGACTGCTTTGGCTGCCCCAAGTTTGTCCCAGATACTCTAGGGCTCTGGTATTCTCCTCGATCTATGAAATCAGTATTTTTTTTAAAAAAACAACAAATTTGAAATTTTCTCTTTTTGAACATCTAGCGTGCTCACTATGTGTGACGCGCCTTTGAACATTGATTTTCATGCAGTGACATCAACATTACAAACTGAATTTAGTGATTTTTCAACCTCTTATTAAATTACTCACCCTTATTCGATCCTTTGATCGTAGCTTGTTTATACATTGGAATACATTTGGTTAGCACAAGGTAACATTAAATTTTTTTAATCTATTTAAACTAATCAGTAATGAAAAAATTTCATTTCCATTTTCAACAATATTTTTTTTACTCATTGCTGATAACTTTATAAAGATAATAATTAGAATGGATTTTTAACTACTATACATACGATTTTACATTAAAGTTGTAATTTTTTAAATAATTTTCAATTTTTTGAAAAGTGTAATTATTTTCGTGAATTCAAAGATGTTACAATTGTGGGATTATGAAACGCGTTAAAAATTCTTATTTATTAGCATCGTGGTGCAACTTTTTACATTTAAGGTGTTGATTCTTTTTTTTTTACGTAAGCAGCTACATTAACAAGACGCCCAATGTGCTTATAATTAGATTGAGTATTTTTTAAAAAATTTAAAAAGACAAATATTTTATGTACCTGGAAATAAAGAATTATGGTCCATATGAGTCCAAGGACTACTGGAGGTCGACCATCAACAAGATCTGATGAATTTATATTAACAAGTTTGATCTGAAATTTTACAAAATTTTTATGAATTTTACTATTGCAGTTTTATTAATTTATAATATTTTTTAATTTGAACCCCTTCGTTGGCAGAAGGAATTTGACAAAATAGGGTAACTGCACCAGTGGTGGATCATGCACCAGTGGTGGATCAACTGCGAGAAAAATGGTCATTTGTGTTTACACGTTTGTAAGTAAATGAACCGCAAGTGTCGGTAATTGTTTAGAAAGTTATACAGATCAATATTACAATTTAAAAAAATTTTTAAATTCATCGCGAAGAAAGCAGGACGACAATTACTAAAGTGGTGACAGAAAACAAGAGTTTTCCTTAACATGTAAGTTAAGAGTATATTTTGGAATAGAAAGCTTTGGAGCCATTTTAGGACAATTTTTAATTCTTTTCACAATAGGAGGCATTTCGTTTCATCCCCATAGAGCCCTGAGAACAATATTTACGTCTGTAAGTAGCGCGTGTCCATTGTTTTGGGGTGATCCACGACTGGAACCAAAAAAGTAACAAAATCTAGTGGTGGATCAGTCCTACTTTTCGCCTGTTGACGCATTGTTTTATTGAAAATTTTATGAGTTAAATTTTAGTTAACACTAATTCAAATGTTTATTAATTGGTAACACCTGGGGGTCGATTACGTAACTTTCCCACTTCCCACATCCCACATCTCACTTCCCACATTTTACATCCCACTTCCCAAATCCCACATCTCACTTCCTACATTTTACATCCCACATCCCATATTTCAGGAAGTGGGAAAGTTACGTAATCGACCCCCTGATTTCAAATTGTTAAATTTTTGTTGAATTAAAATACCCAGAATTAATAAATGTTATTTATCATTGAAACTGAAGCTTTAAGAGCTTCTATTTATTTATTACCAAAAATTCTAATAAAAAGATGATTAATTAATATTTAGTCACATTATGCCTATAGAAATGAAAGAGGAGGGGATATGGATAGGAAAGTGAATTTGAAAATCTGTCCGTAAAGCCTTATAAAAGTTGCAAAACGTCTCAGTCTCGTAATTTTGAAATGCAATGTTTTTTAGTATGATTTTTTAAGTGATCCACCACTGGAGCAATCTATAACCATGACTGGTGCAAACAGTGATCCAGAATAGGATCAGTGACAAATTATCTTTGATGGAGCATTAAAGTAAACGTAGGTGTCAAAATTAAGTCTAACCTTGAAGGAAATGTCTATTGGAACTATCTGGTCCATAATACTATAAAGAATAACCTCGAATTTGTCTAAAAACAACCTATACAGAACTTCAAAATCAAAATAAGAAAGTTAAGGGGCTTAACTGATCCACCACTGGTGCAGTTACCCTATATAGAAAAATTTTTTTCCTGAAAATTGGTATTCAGGGGCTTTTGAGGTCGTTGATTACGAATTCGATGTTAGTTTTTCAAAATTCAAAATGTCGGATCCAATATGGCGGACTTTTTTTCAAAAATTGTTTGGATTCACTTGAAACTTTCTACACGGAGGTTTGGAATTCTGACTACGAATTCGTAATCGGCTACCTTAAAAGTAAAAACCCATGACAACTAATTTTTAAGCGATTCCGAACGATTTTTGAAAAAAAGTCCGCCATATTCGATCCACCATTTTGAATTTTGAAAAACGAACATCGAATTCGTAATTAGCGACCCCAAAAACCCCCAATTATCAATTTTTAAACAAATTCAAGTAATTTTTCAAAATTTTGTTCGCCATAATGGATCCGCCATTTTGATTTTAAAAAATTAACATCGTTTTTATAAACAACGACCCCAAAAATTCTCGAATGGAAAGTAACGAAGCAAATCCTTACAGTGGGTTTCGCTGGAGCACGAAAGGGTATATGAAATGAATGCCAACGAAGGGATTAATATTTTTAATATTTTTAATTATCAAATTCAAATTTTTGTCACATAAAGTAATATTATTTCGAAATAATTATAAAAAATTATAAATATAAGCTCACTTTTTTGCTCTGTAAAAATTGAAGTGCAGTATTGGCATTGCTGAGAAAATGTGGTCTCTTTAAATTTCGTCCTTTTTCCAACGGCTGAAAAAGTTAAAAAAAAAAATGTGAGTTATCTAGTTTTTTTGCAAATAAATAAATTTTTTTTTTAAAATGTTACTTACTAATTTTTCGCCAGAAAGAACTTCCAATAAGGCAAGTAGACGAGTACCATCTTTCAAATCCTCAATCAAATCATCTATACGAAGAGGAGGAACACGCTAAAAATAATTCATAACAGCAAATATAATTTCATGACTCATAACCTATAAACGTTGAAAGTTGACATTGCGTCATTAATTTAGTTGAGAGAGCTAATTTAAAAAATTAAGAATTCAAAATTTTTTTTATTACAAAAATAATATACGATTTAATAAAAAAATTTTTATGTTTATATCCAGCTGCTAATTTTTTTTATTTAATTAAATTTTAATTACTATGATATTATATTGATAGTCAAAATTTTCACGACGAATATAAAAAAAGTTGACGTGAAAAAAAATGTGCAGCGATAAATTATAAAAGTTATTGATGTATATTGAGCAATATAAAACAAGAGATTTATTAATGTCGGTCAGGAGTTTCTTGTAAATCTATCAGAAGATCGATACGATGTTGCGCGATATGTATGAGAAGAAATAAGAACAAGAAGAAGAAGAAGAAGAAGAGGTATGGGGTGGAAAGGGAATTTAATAGTTTGGTGCTTTATGTGCCTGCATGTCACGACGATAAGTTCAGTTTTGAAGGAGCCGGAAGTAAGGAAATCGAGAGCCAGGCACGGTTGTTCTCCTACGGTTAACAAGTTTTGGAGCTTTCCTTCTCCATTGTTGAATATCACGTCACATTTATGACGTATAACGTTGCTTTTATCCCAATTTTAAATCATTATAATACATAACTATAAAAGTATATCTAGTCTTAAGGAACTTTTCATCAAAGTAGCCATGCAATTACATACATATAAACTTTTATCAGTAATTAAATTCTTTTATAAAAGTTCCTATTATTAAAACAAAAATCTTGCAACAGTTTATTTTGCCCTATAACTAAACAAAATCGTGACTATAGGTTCTGGTAACAATTATTTTCATAATAATTAATATATATACATACCTTCAGAAGAAAAGAATTAATCCAGTTTACAAAAGTTTTTTTCTGCACACGTTCCTGCTCGTCTGAAACATAAAAATACAATTTATTACTTTTTTAACCTTTAGTTATACCTAAAACTAAAAATAAAATTAAAAAATTTTTTTTTAAATTCTTAATTCTATATAAGTGAAGAGAGTTTGGTTTAAATTATTATTTGTCTTCTTAGATCACGATTATTAGAACTCATGTGAGAATAAAATTAGTTGAGAAACGAAAAAAAGAAACATTTTCACACATATACATATGTGTGTTTTAACACTGAGAATAATTTTGTATTATTGAATTTTTAAATTAACGCAAAATTTCGGTAAAGTAACATTGTTAAATAAACTTGTGAAACATTATCGTAAAATTATAAATATAAACAAATTTTTTCAAACAATTTTATGAGTAATTTCATAAAAGAGAAAATATTTACGCAATTGCGTAAGGATAAAAGTTTTATGACGCTGTAAAAATTTTTCACGCCCAAGTTCGAAAATAGAAAAAGACACATGGCTTGCATAAAATGGAACACCATATGTTGTGATTCAAAATTTAAAGAAATTTCATGTGACACATGTATTTTTTAGCATCATCTTCAAATTTTAAATATCAATGTACAAATTAAAGGGAGAAAAATGATTAACCATTCTTTCAAAGAATGGTGACGGACTTTGAAAAATTCAAACTGATTACAAATTAAATATAGACAAATCAGTCCGAATTAGCTAGAAATTGTACTAAAACAATTCGAAAATAATCCGTATTTGCCAGCAATAAGTCCGGATGAAAAAGTAAATCCGAGATCAGTCAGGAATTGACGTGAAATCAATCCGCAATTAGCCCGCAACAATTTGATTTTTGTTAGGTCAAAAAACAATCTGAAATGAGTCAAGAATAATTCCTGATATAATCTGATAAAAAATTCTAATACAAAATGAGAACGGAAAAATTCGAAATTAATATGTACAAAATCAGCAGTTGCAGACTGAACAAAAATCTTAATCAGAAAAGAGTTTGAATTAATTGGAAATGTGTATGTAATCCCGATTTGGTGAGGTCAAAATTTTAATTGAAAATATATATTTGTAAAAAAATTTGATATTAGTCTGTAACAATGATGATTTTGTACATATAAATTTCGGATTTTTTCTGATTTATTTCGGATTACAATGTTATACCAGATTAAGACTGGATTATTATCAGGAATTAGTCCGATCAAGTCCAAAATTAGTATTATTTGTGTGACTAGTAAATCTGTAATTAATCGGATCATACACAACTGTAGTAAATGCAAAATTACTTCTATTGAATCCGAAAGTAATTCAGCCTATTTAACTAGTAAATAGAGAATCTGCATTCAGTGTTTATGTTTGATCGGACTGACTTCGGATTATACCGTCAGCCAGATGGTATTAGAAATAGACACGAAGGCGATCAATGAAGATGAAGATCACAATCTGCTAAGTTAATAGCAGAGAAGGCAAAAATGCTAACCAAGATCAAGATAGAGATTTTCAAGATGAAAAAGTTTTTGGACTTTCAGAAGAACGATAAGGATGATCTGGTTGGTCATCTGAATCAAAGTTTCTCCAAGAAGTCCTCGAGGTGAGAGACAATGTGGTGGTCAAAGACGTTGAGTTTCAAATAATTTTTGAAGTTGGAAATATAAATATTCAATTGGTCGAAACCGTCTCAATATTCTTGGATTCGTCAAAGATACGCCAGTCACAAATGCAAAAAGGTTGCTCCGCACAATTGAAAGGTGAAATTAACGATGAACAAAAGGGAGACGCTATAAAAATTTATTTATTTTCCATAATTTATTAGGTGTGTTCAAAGTACTGTCCATCGGCAGTTACGATTTTCTCCCATCTTTCTGGCAGAGCTCGAATACAGCGTCGGAAAAACTCTTCGTCTTTTGAGGCTATCCACGAATCAAGCAATTTTTCGATGTCTTCGCATGAGTAAAATTGCTGAGCAGCCAGACCATGTGCCATGGAACGGAACAGGTGATAATCGGAAGGCGCAATATCTGGGGAATACGGCGGGTGTGGTAGGACTTTCCATTTAAGCGTTCCCAAGTAGGTCTTGACACATTTGACAACGTGAGGCCTAGCGTTTTCATGCTGTAAAATCTTAAGGGACCCAAGTCCCTTGTTTTTTGAATCATTCCTAACGCATGCAATCGCTTGGAAATGGCTTGACGAGTAACATTTAATGCTACAGCAAACTCTTACTGCGTTTGGCACGAATCCTCATCGAGTAATGCTTCCAATTCAGCATCTTCGAAGGTTTTTGGTCTTCCTTCACGAGGACGGTCCTCAACATCGAAATCACCGTCTTTAAAGCGGCGGAACCAATCACGGCATGTTGTTTCACTTAGAGCAGCATCTCCATAAATTTTTTTGAGCTCTCGGTATGCTTCAGCTGCCGTTTTCTTCGAATGAAAAAAGAAGATTAACACTTACCCGCAAATGACGATTATTTAGCACAAAATCAGACATTTTCGCACAACCAAAAGTATATAACGCCAAAACAAAATCACTAATATATCACCACAGTTTCTTTAGCATATGTCTAAGGTTTATTTATAGCGTTTTGGATATATCAAAATCGATCAACACTCACTGCTAACGTTATCTATTGACAAACAACGGGAACTTAGTTGCACACCTAATACTTTATATTACATTTATATCAATAACAATTTTTTAGACTATGATTTCTTATCTGAACAAACGGAGAATTTATATTTGATATCAATCAATTAACTCGTTTTGATAACAACTAAAAAATTTTCTTTTTGTCTTGAATGATTGAAATGTAATAATTAAATGACCAGTTCTCTCTTCGAGTCATCTATCATTCGCTTTATTCGTAATCGTGAAAGATCGCGATTTTAGAATTTCTACTATTAATAAGCACGCTCATTATCACTCACTTTTAATATATCAGATGACTAAACCACTACAGCAGACAGGCTGGAAGAATTGAGAGTTGCCTAATTAGAAGAAGAATGATGGTTGTTCAGTGTCACCGATATTTCGGATACGGTCATATGGAAGAGGACTGCAAAAACGAAGGACAAATCGGATGTGTATTTTAAGTGCAATGAAGCCGAATCATAAATTCGCAGATTGTAATGAAAAACCCAAGTCGCAGACAGCAGAGGATTTGGAGTGTTCGAGTCAGTCCTTAAGGAGGAGGAAGCAACTGATGAGGGATGAAGATATTGCGGTTGTAGTCACCGGATCCAGAGGAGGCGGACAGGCTGGAGAAATTGGGACGCATAAAAATTGTCTTTACTATTGCCGAATTAAGAAAAAAGTAATTTTCATTTTAAAAAAATAAAATTAATTCAAAAAGACTTTCTTCGAAATTAACAAAAATTAGAATTTGATAAACGGCTGCAAATTACAAATAAATATTGCATATTTACTTTTAAATACAAAATAATTGACATAAATATACATGAGACTGCAATTTATAAAAATAACATAATTAGACTTTGTTTTTGATTTATTTATAAATGTGCAATAAGAAATAAGACGTGTTTAAAATTGACGATCGCGTGTCCGATCATTTTTCTTATTCCTTCCGTCTCTCTTGGCTTTTCTCTCTCTCTCTCTCTCTTTGTTTAATCTTCCTTGCAAAAGTAAAGCAAGGATTTGTCGGTACCAAGGTACCGTTATATATTTTTTTTCCGGAAGACAATAACCATATAACGTGTTATATGTACATTTATTTGCGGCATGTAAATCACACGCGACATTGCATAAAATTGTAACTTTTTGTCATTTGACAAATATTGAAATTATCATTTTACAAGGTTGCAAACTGAACTAATAATAATAGTCAATCATTAATAAATTATACTTATAAGTGTTGGCACTTCTTATTCCTTGAGTATTTCAATTTGTAAATAATTTCTCAAGAGGCTGGAATATGTAATATATAAAACGTATCAAGATTTCGCAGTAGTGCTAATTTGTATTTACTCATAAGAACATGGTAGAGCATTAGCAGATGAAAAAGCTCATTCATATAGATAATATAAATTTTTGAATTAAAATTCTTTTCTCAAATAAAAAATATCCTCAAAAACATTTTTACGTGTACCTAGTTTATGTAAATGTTTATTTAATGTTAGTTATTAACATCATAATTATTTAATATAATTTATTTAATAGTTAAAATATTTAAAGTATCGGAGAATAAATATTCGAGAAAGTTGGACATAAAAAATGGATCAAGCAAAGGAATATTTGAAGCAATCTAATGGAGTTCAGACTGTAGTAATAACATCACTATTAGATGAATTCGAAGATGAAATTAAGAAAATGAAAGGAAAAATTATGGATATTGGTTGTGGACCTGGGAATCATACTAGAAATTTACTTTTACCAAAATTCCCCAAAGATACAATTGTTGTTGGTTAGTATTTTATTCAATATCCATAATTTTATTACCCTTCTATTATTAGAATTTTGAATTCTATGTTTCATGTGAGGAATTTTTAATACATTTTTCACTTATTAAAATAAAGGAATGGATGTGTCAAAAAATATGATTGACTGTGCACGAACAATAAATACTGGTGAAAAGCGATTAACTTTTGAGCTAATGAATATTGAGACAAATGATTTGCCTCAAGAAAATATTGAAAGATTTGATAATGGATTTTCATTTTTTTGCCTTCAATGGGTTCAGGATATGAAGTGAGATTAAACGCATTACTAAATTTCATAATTCAAAAATTATAAACTATTTTTTGATATTAATTATAAATGGAATTTATTTGATTTTAGACGTGGTTTTGGAAATATTTACAAAATGTTACGTCCTGGTGGAACCTTCATAAGTTCGCAAATTTTATCATTTGGCGTTTATCCAGCTTACTTGAGACTTTATCAAGATCCTCGATATAAAGAATATATGAAGGTAATTTTTTAATTGTTATAAATAATTCATTTCAATTTTGAGTTATATATAAAACTAGATGATTTTTCTCGATAACAATTGAAAATTTTTAAATATTATTTACTGACCAAAAATACCTTTCTTTTTAGGATGTTTTTAAAGTTATTAATCCACTCTATTTTGATAAAACTCCAAGAGCAACTTTTAAAAAAATACTACAAGAAATTGGATTTGAAGTGATTCATTGCAGTTTGAGGGAAAATGTATCGGGATATGATGTCCCCGAAGATAGGAGAGGTGAGAAAATTGAAAATTAATTAATAAATTAATAAGTCTCTATTTTTTTTCGTTTTAATTAGTTTTTTTTTATTTGCATATGTTTTTGTCAATACTCAACAGTGATTTAATAATTTTTTTAACATATTATTATTATAATTATAAATATAAGTTTAGTAACAAAAGTGCGTAAAGCAAAATACTAATGGTTTTCTATTTATAGAACTTTTCCAAAGTATAAACCAATTTGTAATACGGATGCCAAAAAGTATGCAAGAGGAATACATTGATAATATTTTAAAAGAGAGTTTAAAGGAAAAATCAGTTTTATTTAGACCCAGTGAAAACCCTAAAGAAAAAGATGAGGTGTTTGATGTTTATAATTTACTAATGCTTCACTTAAGAAAACCCTTAAGATAGTTTGTACATTCAAAAACAAAAAAAAAAAAAATACTAGCAAATTTGGCTACTTTTTAACTACCCTAATTCAGTAGGTCCTCAATTTAAGTATTGATTATCAGAAAGTAGTTAAAAAAAATTAAGAATGTAGTTGGTAGAATGATTTTTGTTAAATAAATGTTTTAAATCTATGTACAGCTCAAAGTACCCTAACAGCATCTGAATATTCAGGATATTCTGATGACATCATAAACCTTCAATTAAAACGATAAAAGTTGTTAAATACTTAGCAAAAAAATCACGGTTAATTAATAAGAATAATAGAATAGTTATTAGAATACTTTGCAAATGGTACGACACATATTATTATATAGTGTGTGTCTCAATCAGCCGCAGGTATTATGAAAATGTATCAACAAACAAACATTTAGAATTTTTTTATATAGAGTTTATTAAGGACCCAAGAAGCACGTAATATATCCTTAATATCAAGGTAATATTACACGTGAAATTCGTAATATAACGCTGTAATATTACAGTAATCTTACAGTGATCTTAAAATGTCCGCCTCAAGGTAATATTACCGGGAATATTACTGTAATATTAAAGGTAATATTACAGTAATATTACAGTAATATTACAGACTGATTTGAGTTATTCATAAAGCATAAAAAACGTAAATATATTATAAGTCAATTTGGCTTGTTGGTAAAACTCTGGACTCGTGTGCTTTGAGTTCGGGGTTCGATTCCCTGGATGGGTAGATTTTTTTCGTAAAGAAATGTTCCCATAATATTACTGTAATATGCTTTTGTAATATTACCTTAATATTACAGTATAATATTACTGCAATATTACTGTAATATTACCTTAATATTAGCGCGTAATATTACAGTAACATTACCGGTAATATTACCTTGAGGCGGACATTTTAAGATCACTGTAAGATTACTGTAATATTTCAACGTTATATTACGAATCTTACATGTAATATTACCATGATGTTGAGGTTATATATTACGTGCTTCTTAGGGAATTAATAACGCCTTATATATCTATATATCAATTTTTTTTCAAGTAATTATGAAACATTATTTTTCTTTAGCATCAATTTAATCATTTTCATCAAATTAAATCTTTTAAAATTACTTTTAAATTCTGAGATACAATAATAGTATAATTGAAACTTTATTTTCTATATATTTTCAAGGTCATTTCATGTTCTATATAAATCCTGTTTTTCGAATGTTTTTCCTGCAGTCTATTCATCAGGCAGTATCTAAATACTTAATACATCTACATCATAAAGGTTTTTTTTTTCATTTTTCTGAAAATCAATTTTTAGAAAATTATTTCCAAAAACAATTTCTGAAAATAAATAAAAACAAAATAAATCGAAACAATGGATCTAGCTAATGAATATTTGAAACATTCAACTGGCATTCAGTATGTGGTGATTACATCCTTATTGAATGAATTTGAGAACGATGTTAGTAAAATGAAGGGTACAGTTATGGATATTGGATGTGGTCCTGGTAACAATACGAAAAATTTAATCTTACCAAAAATATCTAATGATGCAGTAATTGTTGGTAAGCCATTAAATTCAATATTTATATGATTTTGAAATTAAAATTAATTATATATGATTAAATTACTATTTTTATTTTTATTCTTAAAATACATTATATAAAATTTTGGTGAAGCCACTTTAACTAATTTTCTCTTGTAGTAGTACATCAATTGAAGACTCGAATGAAATTTTAGTTCTTAATATTAAAAAATAGAAATTTTTTATTAAAAACATTCATTTCTAGTGTGGTTAAAAGTTAGAAAAAATTATTAAGAGCATTTGAACCTTCGTGACGTCACAAATCATGGCGCATGACACGCAAACTTCTCAGGTATGTGAAAAACACAATTTTGAATATTTTTTAAAAAAACCTTTTGGAAAATATTCAGAATATCACAGACTCTGTCTGTTATGTGCGAAAAATTCAAAATTTTGCGTTTAAAACGTTTTTTAAACAATGCCTACATATAAGCAATTCGTGTATTTTTCCTTACTTGTGACAACCAACTTAAACATTGTTTAAAAAACGTTTTATACACAAAATTTTGAATTTTTCGCACATAACAGACATAGTCTATGTTATTCTGAACATTTTCCAAAAGGTTTTTTTTTTAAAATATTCAAAATTGTGCTTTTCACATACCTGAGAAGTTTGCGTGTCATGCGCCATGATTTGTGACGTCACGAAGGTTCAAATGCTCTTAAGATTAAATTATTCCGCGCTTGATAAAAAATAGGATTTGACATCTCGAAGAATATGGTCGATAGTGCTCGGATTTTGAATTCTGATGAGAAACGGTTGACTTTCGAACAAATGAGTATTGAAACAACTGAATTGCCTTCGGAATACATTGAACGATTCGATCATGGAATTTCTTTCTTTTGTCTTCACTGGATTGCAGATTTAAAGTAATGCTCAGTTTATGCTTCTTTTATGTAAAAAAAAAATTATTTTTAAATTTATATTCTAACTGAATAATATTTATTTTGAAATTTTTTCCTTTAATTTAGATGTGCTTTTGAAAATATTTTCAAAATGTTAAAACCAGGAGGAACTTTCCTAAGTCAACATATTTTGTTATTTAACGGTTATAATGGTTATTTGAAACTTTCTGAAAATTCAAAATATAGAGAATATCTAAAGGTATATCTAATAATCATTTATAAAATAAAACGCATGCTATGAATTTTGTCAATTATTAAAATAATACTAAAAAAAAGTTATTTTATTTAAATAATCGATTATTTGACTATTATCAAATAAATATTTACTTGAACCAAATAATTTTTATTTGAATTAAATTAACTGTATTTGAAACAATAATTTCTTCATTTAAAACAAAAACCATTTAATTGGCTCAAATAATAATAATTTAATACATAAAATTCGTACATATTTAAATATCAATAAAATATAAAAAATAATTTCTTTCAGGATGCTAGGAGATTCATAACTCCTCTCTATTTTAGCAAAGATCCAAGAGGAACTTTAATAAAAATATTACAAGAAGTTGGTTTTCAAGTTTTACATTGCAGTGTAAGGGAAAAAATAACAGGATATAAATCTCAAAACGACAGAAAAGGTAAAGTTGAAAATATTTACTTCTAATATTATGTATCTAAATTTATTATTTCATTTGAATAGAAATAAATTTTAATCTTCAAAATTTTCAAAAATTAATTCTTCAATTTTTTTTTCATTTTGTTATATTATTTTAATATTTTTATTTATTTGCAGAATTGTTTGAGGCTGTTAATCCTTTTGTAACACGAATGCCAGACGATGTAAAAAATGATTTCATGGACAATTTAATTCAAGAAACATTTAAGGAAGAAACAGTTTTATTTAGAAAAAATGACAATCCATTAGAAGAGGATAAAATATTTGATTTATATAAATTAATTATGTTATATGTTAAGAAGCCGGAAAATTAATTTTAAAATTTCTAGATGTTATTGTTTGTATTTATATTTGTACGTGTTAAGAAGACGAAAAATTAATTTTAATAATTGCCACATATTTTATTTATATTTATATATATATTTACATTTTAAGAAGACGAAAATTTAATTTTAAAAACTTCCAATTGTTTTTATTTGATTTATATTATTTATATTATGTACTTTAATAAATAAAAGATTTCAAATCGAATTTTATTAATTTATTTACTGAATAAAAATGATGCTATAAAATTAACAATATAATATATTGTTATATATATGTATATATATAATGTAATGATAATTCCTTTCCACCAGCCTATCAAAAAATCAACATATTTTTTTTTTTTTTGACAGATTAGACTAAAAAAGTTGCTTCATAGTTGTTGTTCAATATCTAAAGAAAATCATAAAGAAATTATAATTATAAAATGTCTATATATAATATTGTTTATACATTTGTATAAGGCAAAAAATTACACGTGGCTTATAGTTATTTTTGGCATTCATATCCCTTGGATAGTATATTCAATCTAATCTATAAATTTTTATTACGATTTAGGTTTTAGGCAGTTTTTACGCAATATATTTTTCCTATATATATATATGATATCATCAAAAACAAATATAGATTTTATTTTTTTCTTATTCCGTGTGATGTAATTTTTTTTCATTTTTATATCATTCATACAGTCTTATGGTTTTCTATATAAGCCCTCATCTTTCGATGTTTTTCTTGTAGTCTATGCATTATAGGCGAAGTGTTTAAGTGTAACTTGCACCCTACTACATCGATAAAGGTGTAGAAAATTGTTTTAAATTTTCTTAAAAAAAAATAATTTTTAACTTAAAATAATTCATTAATTCAACATAATAATGGATTCAGCTAATGAATATTTGAAACATTCAAATGGTATTCAGTACGAGGTGATTACATCCTTGTTGAATGAATTTAACGATGAAGTTAGTAAAATGAAGGGTACAGTTATGGATATTGGATGTGGTCCTGGTAACAATACGAAAAATTTAATTTTACCAAAAGTATCTAATGATGTAGAAATGGTTGGTAAGTTATTAAATTCAATATTAAATTGTAAAAAATTTCGATATTTACTTATGACCTTTTTAAATTCGGAATGCCTGATTATATGTTCTAAATATTATTAGTTAGAATTTTCATTTTATGGAATTTCATTCGTCATAATTATTTTTGAGCTTAATTTTTATTTGTTCTAATTAGTATTTTGCAAGAATTTTCATCAAAACGATTTTCTATATTACAGAATTTTTATATAACCGAAAATTCACTTCACAGAATTTTTATTTGTTCAAATTTTTATTGTCTCGAATTTTCATTTAACATAATAGGACATTTTAAAGAATTTTTACGTACTTAATTATTTAACAAATTTGCGACAGCTTTTTTTTAATTAGAAAATAAAAATTGTTCTTTCTCTATGTGAAAATGGAAAACTCATATATAAAACTACAGCCTGACACCGTATTTGACTAATAATATGAATAATCTTCTATTATATTAAGTTAACATTTCAAATTTAACAATTGTCATTTCATCCTTCAATGATAATGATCAAAATTAAGATAAATTTTATACAATATTATTAATATATTAATTTAAAACATAAATTACATATATAATGTACATAAACTACAAAAAGTAAACAACAATAAGTACAACTATAACCGAGCGAGGAATACATCGCTAGTATTAATAATTATAATAAAATGAAAATTACACTGGATCAAGTAGTTTTATATATGAATTTTTCATTTTCACATAGAGAAAGAACAATTTTTATTTTCTATTTAAAAAACGGCTGTCGCAAATTTGTCATTAATTACGTACATTTTTTTGTTTGTTTACATTTGACGAGTTACACCTGGCCTTAAATGATTTTTCGGTTAAGTAAAAATTCCGTAGTATGAAAAATCGGTTATATGGAAATTATATCAAATAATAATTCGAACAAATGAAAATTTTATTCAATACAATGAAATTCTACCCAATAAAAATTATTTAAAATGTCTATTATGTTAAATGAAAATTTGAGCAAATAAAAATTCTGACAAATAAAAATTCGAACAAATAAAAATTCTATAAAGTTAATTTTTTGATTATATAAATATTCTGTAATATAGAAAACCGTTTTGATGAAAATTCTTTCAAAATACTAATTCGAAGAAATAAAAATTCAGCTCAAAAATAATTATGACAAATGAAATTCCATAAAATGAAAATTCTAAATAATGATTTTTAGAACATAATCATGCCTCCCATTTTTCTCTGTATTTTGATCAATGTCGTTGCAAACTAATTTTTTTTTCAAATTATGATATCTTGCAAAATAACGAAGTAAAAGAATTTTAATAAAATATTTATTATTTACAATTAATAATAACATATTAATTAGAAATAATTTTTATATCATAGAATTCAATTTATTATAGAAATTCCTACTTGTAATATTTAAAGGTTAATGTTACAAATTTTCAAAAAAAAAGTAACTCTTTGAATAATTTCTGAATTTGATACAAAATAGGACTTGACGTCTCAAAAAATATGGTCGACTGTGCTCGGATTTCATATGCTGATGACAAACGATTAACTTTCGAACAAATGAATATTGAAACAACTGATTTGCCTGAGGAATACATTGAACGATTTGATCATGGATTTTCTTTCTTTTGTCTTCACTGGATTGCAGATTTAAAGTAATGCGCATTTTTTACATTCTTGTTTATTTAACCCTTTCACATCCATGAAAAACTATTACGAATCTGATGCCACTATTTCAAAATTTTAAATGGTGGCCCTAATATGACGGTTGAAGAAATTTTAAAACCGTTTTTATTTGCTTTAGATATACCTTGGGATCTGTCATCAGATTGACAAAATTCAAAATGGCAGATCCAATACTACAAAAACCATCCTAAGTAACAAGTTTCAAAGGTTTTTAAACGATTACTAAAAATGGCCGCCATATTGGATCTGCCATTTTAAATTTAAGAAATATTAACTAACTAAACTGAATGCGCTAAAGTTAACTAAACAATATTTATTATTGTTATATCTAGAGATTTTTGTGTTATATATGCGCCATAATTGTGAAAGGGTTAAAAAAATTAATATTCTAACTAAATAAATTATTTATCAATTTTTTCCAATTAATTTAGATGTGCTTTTGAAAATATAATCAAAATGTTAAAACCAGGAGGAACTCTCATAAGTCAACATATTTTATTATTTAACGGTTACAATCCTTATATAAAACTTTCAAAAAGTACAAGATATAAGGAACATCTGAAGGTAAATTTTTATTTTTAATTAAAATGCATATATGCATTCAACATTTTTCCAATTGTTTCAATTAGATTTAAAAAAAAACATAAATAAAATATAAAAAATAATTTCTTTCAGGATGCTAGGAGATTCATAACTCCTCTCTATTTTAGCAAAGATCCAAGAGGAACTTTAATAAAAATATTGCAGGAAGTTGGTTTTCAAGTATTACACTGTAGCATAAGAGAAAAAATAACAGGATATAAATCTCAAAACGACAGAAAAGGTAAAGTTGAATATATTTACTTTATTATGTATCTAAATTCATTATTTTATTTGAATAGAAATAAATTTTAATCTTCAAAATTTTCAAAAAATTAATTCTTCAATTTTTTTTCTATTTGTCATATTATTTTTATTTATTTGCAGAACTGTTTGAGGCTGTTAATCCTTTTGTAACACGAATGCCAGACGATGTAAAAAATGATTTCATGGACAATTTAATTCAAGAAACATTTAAGGAAGAAACAGTTTTATTTAGAAAAAATGACAATCCATTAGAAGAGGATAAAATATTTGATTTATATAAATTAATTATGTTACATATTAAAAAGCCTTGCGTCCCATGAATATCTGAGAATATCCACAGGAAAGCTTCTGGATTTCTCTTTAGTGTTTCATAAATGTTTTCCAGATATCCCATAGATATCGTCAGGATATCCTACAAATATTTTCAGGATATTCTCAGTATATCTTCTGGATGTCAAGAAGATATTCTCAGGATACTGTTTTTAAAGTCATTATGAGACGACGAGTGAGAATATTCTGTGAATTAAATTTTATATAAATAAAATAAAATGCAACTTGTTTTTCGAGAAAGTTGTTTAATTTGAAAAATTATTAACTAATTTTTTTCTCATTCGTGATTCATTCCTTTATTCATATGCTTAATATTGTCAGAAAATAAATTGGCTTTAAACAATATAAATTCTTCCCCGCAAATAGCGAATAACTATTAATATTAATTATACATTAAGTGCATGAGTTTATTTAAAAACTTTGAAAAATGCGTTTCAAATCTTCATTTAAAATAAATTAGAAGCTCATAAGATTTTTATTTTTATTATATTATTATTCATTATATTAGCTTAACAATTTTAACCTTTAAAAATATATGTTGAGATATTAAATATCCCGTGAATATCCTAAGAATATCCCACGGACATCCTGAGGATATCCCATGGATATCCTGCGATATAATATCCAATAGATATTTTGCGGATGTCTTAGGGATATCCTGTGGATATTCTATGGATGTCCTGTTGATGTCCCACAGACCAGCGGTTTGGATATCCTAGGGATATCCTATGGATATCCCAAGATATCTTGAGGACCATTCTAGGATATCGACCATTGATATGGATATCCTATGGATATCCTTTTGTTATGATGGTGACGATTTGATAAATGATTGTAGCAAATCATTAATGATTATAAAAAAACGATTAGATATTTCTACACAAAATCCATAAATATTCGTTTTATTATACAACTTATATATGTATAATACTTTATGCAGTATAAAAATGTACGTTCATAGCAATTAAGAAGTGATTTTAATAAAGTTGTCAGTGCGATGAAGTGTAAATTGTAAAATTTTAACTCTCTAACAATTAGTTTTAATACACGGAAAAAACTTTGTGCAAGAATCATTCCTAAATTTGTTCAGGAACTGAGGATATGAGAATAATTTAAGAAATCTTATTTATATTTTCTTTGAAAAATTCTAAGCAATATTTCTATAAGAATTGTAGAGAAATTCAAGACAACTTCCTAAACTCACTACAGAAAGTCTTGAACTTGTTTTAGAATAAATTTTTACGTTTGCGAGAAAAAAAATTTACTTTGGGAGGACTCGATCCCACGTCCTCGAGAGTCCAAAAACTCCGCTTTACGCTTAGTGCTTGGTTACTGTACTGTGTCTTCACACTAAAAAAGAAATCTTGATTTCAGCCTATTTTTGAGGCTGAATTTAAGGTGTAAACGGACTCAGACCAATTAAAAAAGGACAGACTTATGCAAAACATATGGGCTTTATTTAAGGTGTAAACGGTTTAAGACTTTGTTTTTACTATGTTCTAAAACAGTTCAAAAAACTTTCAACGCCCAGTGACTGAGATATTCCGATCGCGGCATTAACAAGAAGTCTTCCAATGTCATAATAAAAATACAAGTATTTTCTTCAATGATTTTTGTATTTTTCTGTAAATTTTGCAAAATTTTTCTCATATCCTCCATTCCGAAACAAATTCAAGAATGATTCTTAAACAAAGTTTTTCCGTGTAATATTATAATTATTTAAAAATTTTATTTTATTATTTTTATTGCATTATTTTTAGTAAAATAAGTTAATAATCAATATTTTTACAAAACTTGGTATCTGAGAGTTTTCGGGGTCGCTAATTATTAATCTGATGTCAGATTTTCAAAATTCAAAATAGTGGATCCAATATGTCAGACAAAAATCCATCATTTTGAATTTTGAAGTGTTTTAATACACCTTTTACTGTATATTCACAATGATTGATATCATAATCTATAATGTTTGCCTATTATGTTTTAAAATTACAAAATTTAATCTGTTTATTTAAGTTGTTTTAAGATTTATGCCTCCTTTACTCAATCAGCACGAAAACTTGCAGGAAGTTTGTCGTGCAAGATTTGCAAGATTGCAGTGAAAACATGTAGCAAGTTTGGAGAGCATGGAACAAATTGTCCTCTTGTGGCAAGGTAGTTAAGCAAGTTTGCAGCAAACTTGCAAAAAGCTTGCTGCCAGCTTGTATACACTGAGAAAAAAATTTAGTGTTTGCAACAATATTGTTTGATTAGGCAATTTTGGTTTTTGTAACTAAATTTTTTGGTTGACTCAAACAAATAGTTTGGTTGCTTAAATACCAACAAAATTTTTTTGTTGGCCCAACCAAATTTTGGTTGCTCTGACTAAACATTTTTCTCAGTGTGACAAAGTGAGTTGGATTTATTTATACTGCATGGAAAATATGTGGAACTAAAAAATCTTTCAGTAACTATCAACTATCTAAATATTTTTAAACATAATTATACAATATTTTTCCTCTGATCTACATTTCCTATTTTTTGTATTTTCACTTAAAAAAAAAGAAAATTTTCAATTTTTAAAAAACACGTGTTTCCTAAATTATTAATTTCTACTATACAAGACAAAATATTACAAAAATCGGAGGAAAAATTTTATAGAGGGTTAAAAAATTTTAACATATATTAACCATCTCTTTGAGTAACAGTAATATTTTTTTAAATTAATGTCACTGTATTGTTTTTAAAGATGATGTTAAATAATAAATTTATATACTCTTATCCGCAAGAAAGAAAGGGTCTTAAAATTAATTTCTCTGAATGAAACTTTAGCTATTTATAGGAGCAAAAAAAGGAAATGTTAATTAATAAAAATACACTGCTTTTATATATATAAAGTAATGGGAAATTTATGCAAGTAGTGCAATAAAAGAAACTAGATAGACTAGTTGCGTATACATTACAAACACGATATATATAGTAGCTTTCAACTTCTTATAATCTTATTTTCTAGGTCATGTATTGAATTCATTGACGGCAGACAGATGATATCCGTAACAACTCTAATATTTCCTCGACCTTGTAAACGTCACAAGTACACACACTTTGTGATTATTAATTTCTCAATTTACTGTACACAATCGTATCTTCTAGTTATTATTAAAATTTTTAATCGGAAATAGAAACCAATAGTATTAAATATATTAATATTCAAAAATAAAAAAGAAAATGTAAATATTATATCAACGAATAGATAACTAATTAATAAATGTATCCAAAAAAATAATCTAACCAGTTTATAAATCTTACAGATCCACTAACCATTCTAATAATCTAAAAAATTGTAAAAGATATACGAAAATTATGTTTGTAAAATTCATTAAAATCTGCAAATTTAATACAGTAAATTATCCAAAACATATTATGATTTTGAACTAAAAATTTAATAGTATATTAATTTAACGTTGTTTAGTTTTTTAGAAATTAAGAATATAATTTTAGGATTAAAAAAACTATTTCTAAAGAAAACTTGTTATCAGTGACCTTGTAGAAGAAATAATTTACTTTTTATGGAGACTACTGCAAAATGTTTTGTAGCTACCTTAATCTTTTTAAGATAACAGGTTCCAATCACCAATAAAACATTTATCTTATATAATTTCACTGGTCAATGTTTTTTTGACATTTAATATTTTAATTTGTTATTAGCTAAATTTAAAATATTACATCTAATACATCTAACTAGATGAGTACAAAAGAAAATACTTTTCTAGGTTAAAAAATGTAAATATTATGCAGCAAACTATACGTTATATGTTTTTATAACTAACTATTAAAAAGAAAATATTATTATACAAAAAGAAGCAACCCACACAGCACATAAAATTTCCTGAATTTGTCCTGAATATTTCATTGAAAGATTCGAAATATTTCAATGAAAGGTCCATGAAATTTTGATGCAACAATGAAATGTCCGCCTATAAGAAATATTGCAGTTCCGATTGTACGAAAAATTTCAGCGAAATGTTGAGAAAATGTGAGGATGAAAAATTACTGACATATTATTTTTAATATTTGCAAAATAAAAAAATGAAATATGTTACAAATTTTTAAGTGAAATATTTTGAAAAGATTATTCATTAAAATTCTAGAAATATCGAAATGAAATATTTCTAAATTGTTAAAAATACATTTTTTTTCAGAAAGAGGCGTTACTAGTTCCTAAATATCTTGGGAAGTGAAAATGTAACAATTCGTAAACCTAACAAATAAGATTCGACGCCACTATTTTAGTGATGAACCCAAGAAATAACCTGACAAGCTAGAGGAATGATGACATACACTAGTTGATTACACGTGTTGACTAATTAGGAGAATATTAATGATCGTACAATGTCATCATATCATCATACGCCCATTGAAGAAGAGGTTACACGATGACTGATAGATTACCGATTTACTGCAAGTGCTGAAAGAACGTGGTATAATGATACACTTTGATTGGTGATAATGTAATCTCACATTCGATACTTCGAATTGTTACCCGAGTTGATCCTAAATCTAATTAGACTTTTTTGTCTCCTAAAGGTATCCATTATTACTTCTACAATCAAGTAGCAATATAAAATAATATATGTTTACGTTCAAATGAAAAGGGACCACTTTACTTTCATTCATAAAAGCGATATTCGCATTATTAATGTTCACGCAAAAGTAATCCTTATTGTAATCGACAAAGTGGTCCCTCTTCATGCGGATGTTCACATGTAACCATTTAATCATAGCAATTATAATGACTTTAAAATCTTTTTTAGAGAAACAAACTCAGATTGCGTACTAGTTTGAATACTGTAGGAGTCTGAAGGTCTGATTTTACAGGCGCCTATACCCCCCCCAAAACCCTATTTCACACTATTTCGTCCATGGAACTGCCGTCCAGCTTTATGAGGCCCCGTTTTTTTCCCTCACGCGATCTTCCTGTCAGATTTTTTCTTGCTTCGTGCGAGAGTCCCAGTAAAAAAAAAAGAATTGGTGGTAACTTAAACTGAATTCGGTTTGATGAAAAAACCGAATTGGAACGTTACGGTGAATTATTTTTTTCTTACTGTGAATTCTTTTCTTTTGAACATTTAAATTGACGTTTGTTTATTCGAGTTTACATTATAAATGAATAAAATAAATGTTTCGAAGTCTAAAAAAGCCGATTTGGAATAAGAAATATATAATTTTTTAAAAAGAAATAAAAGCGAAGTGTGACAGATTCACCGACAATTTTATCAAGTGAAGTGTTCATATGATAAATTTACCATATGAGTACTACTCACATGATAAAATTGTCGGTATATCTGTCACATTTCACTTTTATTTCTTTTAAAAAAATTATATATTTCTTATTCCAAATCGGCTTTTTTAGACTTCGAAACATTTATTTTATTCATTTATAATGCAAACTCGAATAAACAAACGTCAATTCAAATGTTCAAGAGAAAAGAATTCACAGTAAGAAAAAAATAATTCACCGTAACGTTCCAATTCGGTTTTTTCACCAAACCGAATTCAGCTTAAGTTACCACCAATTCTTTTCGCTTACTCCCAATTCTTTTTTTTTACTGGGGTATTCTTAGCTTCCTCAAGATCTGACACTGAATACTTCGCTTACTACGACGTGATTATACTCTCCTCTTGATCTTGCTGCAGAAAAAACCTACTTTTATAGACACCAATTTTTTTCTAGTCTCTTCGCTTCATCTAGGTTGGTGACAGCAACCGCAAGCTTCATTCCTCAATGGTATGGTCGCAGGACTGAAAAAACTGTTGAGCAGACGGATGCCTCATTGACAATAGTGCAGAGCCACTCAACGTTAGCCGCACAGCTCAGTCAAAATTGGGAGAGTTGTTCTCTTAAAACCTAGAGGAACAGTACTCTCAACTTCGATAAAGTAAGTAGCTGATCGCTACTTTTAAGTTCGCGGCTGCGGAACCAGAGTTTAGCTCCTACAGCCTTGTTAACCTCCGCGATGAAGGCCGCCTGTT